GAACGGCTCCCTTAGCATGAAATACATTCTAGGTAAAGAAAAAAATCAGTAATCCTAGAATTATGACATGCCACGTGACCGGAAATTGAAAATGAAGGAAATTGGCGAATTGGTGGCGAATTTACTTTGATTGGATAAACAAATTAGCATTTCTGAAAGAGGATAAAAAGACTTAACTTTCTACGTTTGGAATGAGTGTACGCGAAGTTTAAAATTAAAGTTTTAAAAACAATTCAAGATTAAATTCGGGCATGTAAAATGATGTTTTCCCGCATGATTTTTTATTGAAGGGTAATGGACGGTCATTCCAAACGTAAAGTGTAATATATAATATGAATAAGAACTGAATATTATTTCTCGATTTCTTTTCTTAAGGACGATGAGTTCTTTATGTGTGCCAAATTTTGATCCAGTGCCATCATCTATGCCAAAGTTATGGCCAATAATTCATTTTCTACGGGTAAACCCCCAGGTCACTGGCCTTAAACTACTTGAGTAAGCTCCGTATCAGTTGTGATCCAGGAATTTTTCTACCATGGTAATGTGACATCACACTTCTCTCTTTTATTGGTTTGTATGATCTTACAAAAGACGAGATTTCTTTAAATCATCAATTCTCTTCCATTTTCCGGTAAATTTCTTTTTCTCAAAACAGCCAGTCTTTCGTTGTGCAGGGAGTCAGTACTACCAACACAAACACGGAAAAGGCGGGAAAACTTAACGGGATACGCAACTTCTGATTGGTTGATGAAGGATTTTTGTCACAAGCGAAAACCCCTGTGCGCAAATCGCAAGCACTGATTGGCTAAAAATCAGTTTTGTACCCCCCTCCCCCCACCCCTTCCCGGCCACACATTTGCGAAACTCGACTGTCTTCTTAAGGGACAGTAGAGCAAACTGACGTCCGTAACCACTTACGCAAAGAGCTGACGCAAGAAATAGCCAAGGTAAACAATAGGGTAGTTGGAAGACCAGCTGGTCATTAATAACGCGTTATATTTTTGCTAGGGACCATGGATTTCCTGCCGTTTCATCCGCTCAGAGTAAACTTTATCGCAGCCTGGATGTCTTTTGAAAAGTTTACAAGGGAGAGACTAGTAGAATATTACAAATTACCGGAACTCCGACATTTCGAATTTTGTAAGATTATAAAGTAAAGCAATCTAGCGAGATATGTCTTCGCATTTCGAAAAACGTTGACCTATGATCGATGTTTTTGAACTGCTGTTAAATTCCCTTTTCTATTTTTTTCTTTGTTCATGTTTTCTTGGCAAATGCATCAAATGATCACAGAGATTACACATGGAAACCAGCATTAATATTACCTGAACTTTTCATGATTTCGCATTTTATACTTTCTTTACCGTTCAGTGACATTTTACCAAGTATAAACACAATAGATCCGTTTCAAACGTCGTGCTACTACTGTGCCGAACTCAATTCATTCATTATAAATGCATAAGAATTAATACGAACACATTTCTAAAGCTGATTAAACCTGTTTTTTATTTCTATGCTTTGTTTTCGACATCAGGGCGCTACTTTATTCGCCTCAATTAAATTCGTCTGAAACCAAGTCCTGCTCATTATAGTCGAGGCTCTTGGACGTTTGAACAGGCTAAACTCACGCGATAAGTGATGTACGTCTGAACGGCTATCTACTGAACTGACTAAATAATTTTTCGTTCATCATTGAAGCTGACAGAAAGGAAAGAGCACACGATAACGATACAATAATGTTTACTATATATGACTTATATTTCTACGTTTGTTTCAAAATTTCATAAACTGTTTCTTAAAACTTCACGGCGTGCACGGAACGACTGAGAACACAACATTATTAGAAAAAAGGTAGTTTTTGCGAACGAATTTGACAAATGACAGGCGAGCTCGAACAAGTATACGAGAAAAAAAAAGTCAAATCTGATGTTTTCTTATATTAAAATACAGTTGTTAGGACAGTTTATAACTTTATTTCAATTTTATTTTTATAACAAGTACGACCGAAAACCGGATTAACGAAAAAGACAATAACCGTTTTTGACCCTGAATCACGATTTGTTACTAAAACGAGAGTACTGCACAACCAGCACAGTCTAGCTCCGTACGTGTCCGACAACCAGCAGATCGATAACTTAATAAAATTTATGGCAAAAAAATTGCTTTGACAGTGACAGTGTGTCTGTCATAAATGATTTAAAAAGCGAAAGGGTGATTTCGAATTTATTACACGCGTCATAGGACAAAGTCGGCAATGGATGCATTAAACGAAAGTATATTTAAACTAATATTAGTTCCTTTTGGAAAATGAACGTTTCAAGAAGATACAACGTGTCTTCACAACACAAGCAACACGTAATCATAGAAGCAGAATAAGAAATAATCCCAAAAAGAGAATTAACAAACGCGGCAGAGTTGCTCGCCGATCTAATTATCTATTTCATGCATGCACATAATTTTTTTTACTATTATCACTTTATTCTTTTTTTCTCTTTACTTTTTGCTTTTCCAGGCCTACGGTATTAATTACAGAAGCTACAAATGATAAGGCAAACTGCACCAGGCTTAGCTTAATGTGTTGAATATTACATTGTTTCAAACGAAAAAACGTTTACTTTATTAAAGCAATTTTAGGAGGACTGACGTATCTACAATCAAAGACAAAAGTAGTTGGGAAGGCTGTACAACTTAACAGTAGTCCATTTTAATCCTGAAAAAAGAGAGTTTTCTCTTTTGCTAAATACCCCCCGTCCCCCCTGTTCAATGTTGGGATATAACAGAACAATTACACGCACAAACATTAACGTTTTGATCAACATTGGGCCAGGGGCGGGGGGAGGAAGGAAAAGAAGAGGTAAAAAAGGCAACCTTCCCAACACTTTTGACGATGATTGTAGGAGAATAGGAAATCAACTTTAAACGCTTATAAAACTTGTCGTATTTAACATTTGATTGAGATATCTCGCCCTGGAACTGTGCTGATAATGCACTTTCCAAAGTATATAAAAAATACAATAAAGGTTATATTTCAGTAAAATCATAAATAGGAGAATTTTGCATCAGACGTGCGTGACATTTCACAGCGTGACCACAAAGTCCACTGGGTGAAAACGCTTTCTTTTAAGAACGTCAGAAGAAAACATTTAAGGCCTTTAATTTTCCTCATGAACCAACAGACGTTTTTCTTCGCGTGGACTACATAGAAAGAATGGCCAGAGGTGGTCTGTTTCACTAGATTTAACGAAAAGTCATGAGGGTATTTTAAGCAAAAAAAAAAATGCTATACAATTGCTGTCGTTGTCATGTATACATGTATCTTTTTCATCAGCGGCATTATTCCTGGTTAACTTTTGCCGTTTCCTATCAGCGAAATATTTTGAAAGATGTTACAAATAGAAATGGCATAAAGGCTGCCACAATAAAGTTTTTTGGGCATTCTGGCGGTGTCAAAGTATCCTAGAAAAACGTGATGTTCGTAGTTGCGAGGAAGGAGTGAGATAAGTGCCGAATTAAAACCTTGTAGACTGTATTTTTGTAAGGCCTGAAAGTTATACGAAACCTCTATAAAAGAGTTCATTCAGCCATGTTCAGTGTTCATATAGAAATTGCTGTGCTAGCGTCGCCTGTCAATCATTCAGTTAATTTGAGAACAGTAAACAACATGAGTTTCCACATTACTCCATCACATTACTCCACAAGAAAATGCGAAATATATGCACAATGAACCAACTTTCAAACAAGAAAAGGGTAAAAACATGTAAATCATGTAAGAATATGGACAGCTTTTGTCGCATTTATCTACGGAGATAAATTTAACAACTGTTTCCCAACATTACTCCATTTAAACAGTACCCTATAAAGGTCAATTAGCAAAGTTAGTTTAATTTTAACGCTATCCATGGAGTACTGTTGTATTTTACTTAGAATTAAGCTAAAATATCTATTAAAATTCCTTTGGTTAAGTCCTTGCAAAGCCCCGAACAAGTCAATTAGGCTATTTTGTCGTTAGCGCTACTATAAAGGAATTATTTTCGGCTACGAAAATGGAGTAATGTGGTGTGTGATGACTTTGCATGTGTTACCCTTTTTAATTCGATCAACGAAGACAATAGACGCCTTATTCTAAATCAAGAGCGTACGTTGTTGTCGTTTTCTGAAACCAGTTTCGAAAAGCAGTGCCACAAGGGCTTAACTAGAGTTTTTCAGCCGGAGAAAGTAGCCTCTAGAATTCGGCAAATCTCCACTCAGCCTCATAGTTTGCTCGCCTGGCAAATTGGCATGTGCTGAATGTTGTAAAGAATGGGGGAGTGGTAAGGAAGATGTCAGCTACACTGTCGCAATCCGAATGATTTTTGCGGGAAGTGGTGAACGCACTATATCTTGCTTTACGATTTGAAGCATATCAGCCTATGCTACAGTCAATAGTTTTCACCGAAAATAGGCTTTCATTTGTATTTTGGGCCTCTTCCTGTGCTCCGGAAAGAGCAATAGTTGTATTTACCGGGTTGCAAAACATGCCGAATATAAACAGGCGTGTGCGCCAAAAACTGTCTTAACAAGGTACGGCAAATATTTTTTCAACAGAGTACTGTTTACGAGTGTTTTTTGAAGACGTTTCTACTGACAAAAGTCGTCGAGTTTTGGTCTTTCACGGCCACACCCAGAATTTTCAGACAATCAAAGACAAAAGTAGTTGGGAAGGCTGTACAACTTAACAGTAGTCCATTTAATCCTGAAAAAGAGAGTTTTCTCTTTTGCTAAATACCCCCCGTCCCCCCTGTTCAATGTTGGGATATAACAGAACAATTACACGCACAAACATTAACGTTTTGATCAACATTGGGCCAGGGGCGGGGGGAGGAAGGAAAAGAAGAGGTAAAAAAGGCAACCTTCCCAACACTTTTGACGATGATTGTAGCTTATGAAAAGATAAGCATATCACCAAAATTTAACGCTCGGTTCTATATTACTGACCAAAAAAACAGATAACGACATAAAATACAAAGCTTTTACAGTACTATTTTAAAAATACTGAAATCGGAACATGAACGATTCATCACAGCTGACATAATTGTTAATTTGTAAACTCATATCACAAAATGCAAAGTACGTGCATTGTGTTCACTTGCATAACATATTCCTCAAAAAGAAACAGTTTTGTCCAATCGGTTTTACTGTACTACAAACTGAACTCCGATCCCAGTTTGTCTTAAACTTCACCAATGGTACCTTGTCCTGGATAAGAAATATATAACTGTAACAAGTTCGAGTAATTCGCACATTTATGAAGATTCAAAAACAATTTTCGCCGTTCTATTAACAATACCATTCATGATTATCCCAAAAGAAGGCGTCCGTTGTTTGATTCACAAACAAAATTTTTCAACCTTGCACTTCGCTTTTCGATATGGCTTTGGTTGTTGATAGTTTCTGGCAGACTAAACAGTATCGCGTGACACGAAACATTAAAACTAGCTGTTAAAAGAGTTAACGAAACGACACATTTAGCATTTTGAATGGCCGAACATTTTGTCACAAACTCTTAAGCTCTAGTGTGTCCTCGATTGTCGCTTCTTTTCGTTTCGCTTGTTTTGCGTTCCCCAGATGTTCGGAGGCTTTCGCTGCAGGTATTCCTCTGCAAGAAGTTTCCGACCAACCAAATGTCGCATCTGGCAAGACATCCAATTCCTCGATCTTGCTTTCGCTCTGCGTGTCTTCCAAAGTTCGATCTTGTTCAATCGATGAAACCATATCAACTGAAGCAGCCGTGCTTGCGCTGTCCACAATATACGGTGGCTCCATAGCTAGACTCTCGCGCTTGCTTTCATTTTCTGCAGTGCTACCATCCTCGCCTGTTCTGTAGCTGTAAACTTCAACAATTGTTGAATGCGCATTTGAAGTCTGTGCCGCTCCGTCCTTCAATATTTGTTTCCTTTCCTCGCTTGCTATTCCGCCCGTGCCATACTGACTTTGATAATCAACACTGTCTCCTTCCTCCTCGTTTTTGGGTATTTCGACCAAGTCCCCGTCGCTTTGATTAATGTCTTGGCCTCCGGTGGATATCTCCTTGCCAACATGTACACTCGATGGTCCCGAGTCTGACGATAGCGACCTTAAATCATCAGTGTTTGACCGTTCTCGTCCGCGAAGCTGAGGATGAAAGAGGAGGGGATTTTGAAGCTGTTCTTCAGCGCCTCGAAACTTTTCCGCTGCTTTTGCAGGGTCTGTTTCATCGATATTATATACTCTTAATTCACCCACATCTTTTAACAAACACAGCGTTGATTCGGAAACCATATAAATTCGCGGCTGCAAGCATATAGTCTCATGGGTTGGTGATGAATTTATGATGACCGCGTGGGAAGGACTACAACCCATTTTAGTTTTATCTTCTTCTCTGCAAAAAATAACCTACCGCACGACAAAGTGTACATCGAGACATTACAATATCGGAAATCACCGTCTATGTAGCCATCGCTGGTAAAAATTGGCTTTTTCAAAAAGCCAGCTTACTTAAGCTCACATCTCTGCCAATCAAAAGCGATCGTTCTTTTGTATTGTTCTTGTCAAATTACCATCCGGTACTCTCGTCACAAACAGCCTTTGGCCAGCTGCCTCTGAATTTAACATAAAAAGTATGGGTTGTTTTTCTACAACGCGTGGGGTTTGTAAGATGGCTTTCAAACAGTCTAGGGATAGCTCACCGCATTAACGAGCACCTTATTTGCTGTCTAATTTTACTGTTCGGGAAATATTCAAAGAAAGAAATTTCGAAAACGACTTATCCTGAAAAGGTGCTTTTTAAAAAAGTAGATTAAAACGATAAACGATGTAGTCACCAACAAACAAACTCGTATCGTAAAGAATATATTAGCAATTTAGCAATTAAAGAACATGTTCGATTCCACGTTTAATTCTTCGGGAACAATTTGTCAAGCTTATTCTCGCATGAAAACAAATTTCACAAAAACGTCATTTTAATAACCACATCTTCAAGATATTACATGTGATAGCTTTTTGTTTTGCTTAAATTTGACATTTATTTGAAGCCATTAAGGAACAGGGAACCAATTTCCATAAATCATATTGTCCCACGTAATAGCTAACAGCCCAACAAAACTACAAGTTTGACGCTAGCTTGGCGCTATCAGTTACGTCTGTCGTTAGGATTCTGATCATTGGGAAAATGTAGTTTGTAATTGTGCTCATGCCTAGGTTTGAGACACTACTGGGCGACAAAAGAAGAGGAAATATTTACGATAATTTGCAATATATACTTCGATAATTACAAACGTTATGTCCTGACAGTAAAAAAAGAGAATAGGGATGGTATAGAAAAGTGATGAGAATCTTTTAGCCCGCCCGCACTTTTCATAACACTCATAATCATATGCAAATTTGAAATATGCTACAACAATACAGTCTTCCCGACTAAGTGAGAATTTTTCGTAATGATTACTTAAGAACCTTGTAATAAATAGCGGAGGAAGACTTGTTTACTCCACTCACACTCAGTTTACCAGCGGAACGAGTAGCGGTTGCGGTAGGACCATCACGATGGCAGATGCAGCGTAACACCCCAACCCAGACTTGACGGCGGCAGCAGAAGTTGCATCCGTGGCGGCAAATGAACCTGCAGCAGCGGCCAAACAACCTCAACCAGCCATTCAAGCCGTAGCAGCAGCTCCTGTAGCTAATCAACAGGAACTTGAGGTGATTTTTCACTCATATTAAAGCAGTCATGACTAGCATTTCTTATAGAAGCCTCGAACCAATGGAATGGAAATCACGCCTTGTTGGGGATAAGGGTAAGGATCATGAGAAGGCCTTAGACATTGAGACGAAAGTGGCAAAAGCGTATCGCCTGCAGTCTACACCCCGGCCCCACACCATACAGGAGATCACAAGGGCGTGATACTCGTGTTGATTTGTCGCAAGTGAAATGTTTCGCTTGCGGTAGGCTTGGCCATTCCCGTGAAGGTCTAGAGACCATGGAATAAAACATGGATATAAAAGTTAAAGAGAACTAACAATGAACCGCTTTGAATTTATTGTGAGACACCTACGACGTTTGAGTATTTGATTGTTACGTACCCTATAGCACAACGCCTTTACACGCTATCTAGCTGGTGGAGTGGTTTCACATGACGTCACGGCGGCCATATTGGTGTTCCAAAACAATGAAACGCAACTTTAAGGGAAACAATTGGCCAAGGTGTTAAGCCAGGTTGGCAGAAACGTCTGTAGACGAGGTTGCTACTCCGTGGAGGGATACAAACCAGCTTAAGCAGTTTGACTGTGCATTCCCTGCTGACTTGTAACGCCCGCAAAAGAGTGCATCCCGTGTGAATATAACATGACCCCAGGAGAGAAAGTGTTCAAGATATTTTATCGGAATATGTAATAAAGTACTATTCATAACACTCATAATCATATGCAATCGAAATATGCTACAACAAAGCAGTCTTCTTGACTATTATAGAGTGAGAATTTTTGGCAATGATTACGTAAGAACCTTGTAATAAATAGCGGGAGGACCACCCCCCTCCCCACCCCCCATCGCTCAGGTCGCACGGCTACCCACACCTCCTTAAGCAAAACAGCTTAGTCAGCTTAGTCCGCTGGTCCATCATTATTTCCATACCTTATTTCAACTGAGTATGAATGGGAGTGTCATGAAATAAGATGCTTTTCAGAGCATTTTGGTGAGGCAAAAGAATTAAGGGCGTTAATCGAGCGTTTTAGTGGAACTTTGCCGGAAAATGATGAAAAAAAATGGTCTAAAAATATTAAACACTAAAACTTCGAAACTGCCAAAACAATTCAAATGCCATCCTAATTAATACAGCAGTTTAGAATATTGTCTTTTGCTGTAGTAAAAACCATTACACGTTTTTCAGTTTTAAAATGAATAAAAAAGCCTCTGTAAGATGAGCATTTTTGAACTATTTATCACAGACTTTTTTTTTTTTGGGGGGGAACCGAGCATTCGAACCCAGTGGAAACAATGGGGCATTAAGATGGAATATTTTGGTGAGAAAACAAAAGCATAATGTACAAAAAGCACAGCTGAAGGGCTCTTATCAATCCGGGGGAAGGATACTCCCTGTCATGGCCTATACGGGGAGGCTCCGCCCGAAATGGGTACGTTTTTTTTTCAGGAAATTTTTTTTTTCAGGCTTTGCGTATATGTAAGGGTAGGAATTCCAGTATTTGACGTATATGAAAGGGTACAGAAATCTGTCATTTTGGTCTGTAAAAAAGCCCAAGAGGGTCGCCAAGAGATGCATTTTTTAGCTGAGAAAAAGTCGCGAAAACGCTCCGGCTTTGTGATTTATTCAATTTAAAAGACGGTACATTTACAGCAGGGATGTGCAAAGGTCTGTCCTAGCTAGGTATGTGTAAGGGGTACCTCTTCTGCCAAAAATGGTACATAAATGGGTAAGGGGTTGGACCTTGCGGCGGAGCCTACCCGTATAAAACATTGATGTGTACCCCCGGGTTACCAATGAACGTTCACGGACTGGACAGCGTTCGTTTTTATCCGGCCTTAGAATGCATAGTGTCAGTAATCCTCCTCTCCGTCCAAGGCTTCCAACTTAGCAATAAACGCATATCTCTACCAGAGTAAAATGGCAGTTTATTGAAATTTGCAACTTTAGAGAAGCAGCTTTACTTTTTCCCAGGCGGCTGGGCTATTTATTCATATGAAATTAAGCCCAGCATTATCCGGATATGCAAAACAAAACAACATTGTTCCCTTTTTTTTCTTTTATTCTTCAGCTTTTGGGGCTGCGAGACATCGAAGGGCCATCGAATTATTTGAGGGAAATATTAATATCCCGACAGGAGTCCATGCGCCTGGCTGTCGGCTTTGACAAATGTGCACAAGGTGCATGTTATTATCTATCATCATGGGCTATAGGAAACATGGGTTTCGACTAAGTGAAGGTTAAATTTCCGTGTAATAAATTAAGGATACCGTATTTATTCGATTAACCGCCCTGGGCGCTTATTAAATTTTTGGACCTTGAGAGTGGGCGCTTATTCGAGGTGGGCGCTTATTCGAGGCTGGGCGCTTATTAAATTTTCACCATTATCAGCAAGTGAAGTATGTTTATTTTGCAACAAAACAATCAATGCTAATAACAAAATGCGAAGAAGTAACAAAGCAAGGTTTCTGTAAAATACTCTGAAGAAAACTCCGTCCTCGGGGAAGTCTCTTATTAGAATTTATTCACTCAAGTGGGTGGGGTGGGGGTGAGCGCTTATTTGAGTTTGATTGGGAGGAGGAGGGGTGGGCGCTTATTCGAGGCTGGGCGCTTATTAACTTTTTCTGCCTTTAGGATGGGCGCTTATTCGAGGTGGGCGCTAATTCGAGGTTGGGCGCTTATTCGAATAAATACGGTATTACATGGCCGCACGGAGATATGAAAAATATTTCAGGAGTGAGCGCAGTGAACGAGTGAAATGTTTTTCATCACAAGAAGAGAAATTTCGTATCTCTAAGGGGCCATGTGTTGTTCTACTTTAAATATTATATAAACACCACTCAAAATACCAAACCATTTTACTTTTTCATATGTATATATATACATTTTTTAGCTGCGAAAGGCGCGATTTATTATGTAGCCATAGCAAAGGTGATCTTTTCGACCGCAAATGTTGTCTACGTGTCGGGTGGTGAAGATAACGTGTGATGTTCACGTGCGAAGATATGTTTTCGCGCGAAAGCTCACCTCGTATTTCATTGGTGTTTATCAGGGCCCCCCCTCCCCCCCTGGTGTTTATATAATAAAGTTCAATAGGCCATTTGCACGATGGCGTCATCTTACTACTACAAGCAGAATTCTTTTCGTTTTTCTTTTCATATTTTAATTTGGTAGCCCCAGTGAGATTTAAATAACAAAAGCCCTAATTTGCACAAGGAAGCAAAACCCTCAAGGATCTTGGTCATAGTAGTAAAATGACGCCTATTACTCACTGCAAATGGCCTGTTACTCACATTGAAGTAGTATTTGGTCATTTTTCGTCAATTCTGCCCTTTTACTGTATATCTTGTAGAAATATACCGGATAGTTTTTCAGAGTGAACATAGCCTAAGGGCCTGTTTACATGGTGGTGAGGTAACCCGCTTAGGTGGGGTAACCCACCTGTCCATATAATCTCTCATTTTAATTTGATCACGGCTGGTAATCGAGCCTAAATATTAGACTGATTACAAAGTTTACGACATAGTATATTCCGCAGTATCGTGCAAAGTTGGGAGAACCTCACCACAGCATTTTGAGGAAAATTTGCTTGTCTGGTAGAATACTCTAGCAGATTTGTTCAGGGAAGTTTCAGTGAACTTTAGGTTAGGGCTAAGCTAATTTCTGACGAACCTTTAGTCATCGACCAACCTCTGTTTAATACTCGGCCACATACTGTTACCCGGAGAGAGAGTGGCCTCAACAGTATATCTACAGTATATCTATAGTATATCAACGGTACAGCTTCGCTATTGGTGGGAACAAGGTAACAGGAATCACAGGGTCCAGAGGAGTTTAGTGTAATGAATTACTTATTTAAAGTCTCACCTTGAAAAATGTCTATACCTGTCGCTTAGCACGATTAATTAGCCCAATGGGATCGTTATAAATCTACTGTAAACGATTTCTTCGCTTCTTATCTGACCCAGATCGACTTTTGAAAATCAGTAACCGCAAGCCATATCCTCGCTGGCGCACGGCACGTCGCCCGAAGGGCGACCGAGGCACGAAGTGCCGAGTAAAAGAAAGTATTTTGTACTGTAAGCCGATCTTGCGAGCCCTCAGTCTCTTGGTTTGCGGTCTATAGAATGTATAACGAAACTGTAACGCGATCAAAATAACCCATTTTTTCAGAGGTTTTCGACGGGTTTTGATGTTCTAACGACAAACACATCTCCTCTGGTCCCTGTGCAGGAATCTGAAGTATGGTGCAGAAAAAAGGTTGAATATAGTGGTTGAGTGAAAAGCCTTCATTCAAGCTGAGTTGGTGCAAAAAAACAACAACAACAACAACAAAAACAAATAAAAAAGACAGCTTTATTACACAGTATTCCGACTTAACATCGTCTTTAGCTTGTATGTTTTGTTTTCCCAATGTAGGTCATGTGATAATACTCTAGAGAACTGTTTCTTTCAAATTTTGGATTATTATATTCCCGTGCATGTGTACGCATAAAAGGATCAAATTCTCCTGAGACCTCTACTGGGAAAACAAAACATACAAGCTACAGAGGTGTATTTAATTTACTCTGTGTTTTTAAACCTATGTATCATTTATATGTATCATTTCTGAAAACTAGTACCAGCGACTGCTTCTAAGTTTGATCACGCGAGGCAAAAACCCCCCACCCTCCCCTCTTAAAGGAACTGACAGCTAGCTATTTCCCAGTCTTACACTCGTTTCGCACTTCACGTTTCTTTCAAGTTCTGGAGTTGGCGACCAAAGTATGACTTGATAGAAATTTGACGAAGCGTTTCTTAACAACCGATATTCGAAGCCTTTTTTCCTAACATGCCGTGACCTTAATTGCTGGTGAAATTACACTTCAGTGCCAAAAAATAACCAAAAAGAGATGAAATTCTGGCAACTTTTCTCCTTAGAGTTTTTTCAGCCTCTAAATATACAGAATGCTAAGCCATATCAAGGGAACAGATCTGCGCAACTATAACCAATTTGGCCAAGTTTCACGTAATCTGTTCAAACTTAGATGCAAATGACAGTACAGTAAACATGGGATTACAACTACACTCCTAACGTATTAAAGGTTTTTATTATTATTTCTAAGGCTCAATGAAGGGTTGTTACTGAAGTATTTTTCTCAAAGATACAATGTTACCATTGTAGCCTTATGTAGCCCCACTCATGAGTGGAAACCTTAAACAGATCTTAATGTCGAGGCCTTTCTCTGCCGACAGTATCACACAGAAAAAGTTCTTAGCAGAAGTGGAAACTCATACAAGTGGGGACGTTACAACTGTCAACGGGGTGATTATGCTGTAGTCAGTCTCTTTTGATTAAAAGAATATATTTACAGAGACAAAGATGCAAAAAATGAAAAAAACCTAACAAAATTCTTTACAGAAGAAAAGAAAGATGATTCATCGGTGTAAAGTTCTTTGAGACCGGTACCCCCCGACGGCTTACTTATGTACTTCGTATGTTCTTTTAGTTTTGTGAAAGATTTGAAGCTAAAAAATTAAACTTTCAACATCAATCGGCACGAAAGTATACCGATCGCGAAAATTCACATTGGGGCTTTTGAAATATTCGTTTAAGAGCGTTCCGTTAACAACAATAGTAAGGATTTTTGCCATTGGGTAAGAAAGAACACAGGCAAAAATCCTTAGTACTGTTATTGTTTTTCTTCTGATCATCTAATTAATTTCCTTTGTTTCATGACTTACTTACTCGTGTCGCACAACGACGCCAACGAGTAAAAATGCATGACACAGGAGTCACGCGCAAGAAAATACCAGATATGGATCAACGAATTGTCTTTTCTTTTATCAGCTGGAAGTTTAGGCCAATATGAGTTGACGCGAATTTTTTAAAGAAATTCTCCCGCTGGCATTACTGTGAACTTGGAGTATGCCTCAAACCCACACTTAGCATACTCATTCACCACTGTTCTGCAAAGAGTGTTCATGAGAAACATTTCTTCACAAATGAGAACTTTTCATGACGCTATATTCACGACCATGGAAACAAGTTATAATGTAATAATTCTTATCCCAAGGTCTTAAATTTCAAGACAACGTAGCCTTCTATCGTGTCTTACAGTCTTCAATCACAAAGTGAGCTTCCTGTTGGCAGAGGACTTGTTTAAAAGGCCGATAATTCGCAGCCCTTACCTCTATTTAAAGTTACTCTTATAATATTCACGTTAGACAGGATGATCGAAAATCGAACAAAATCAAATCCAGCATGGCTTCGGTGACAGAAAAAAGCAAGTTTTTATCAATCAAGCTACATACACTGCTAAAAGTCCTGGCCCCGGTTGTTCAAAAATTGGATAGCGCTATCCACCGGATAAATCGCTACCCAGCGGATAAGTAGTACCAAGACCAATTGCCTTATCCACTAGATAGTGATTTATCCGGTGGATAGCGCTATCCACCTTTTGAACAACCGGGGCCTTGTCGGAATGTCCTTTCTAAATGAAAGAATACACTATGTTTACTCTGATAATTCACGTGAAAGACAGAGTTTTGCCAAAAAACACGTTGAAAAGGTTTCGACATAAGCCAGACATTAATTTCCAATCCTTTTCAACGCGTATATTGACAAGCTTTGACTTTCACACGATTTCTTGCGTTACACGGTTTCTTGTAACTCTGATAATTATCTACTTGGCAATAAAATTTATATCCTTATCTCTTCATAAGAGGCTGAGCCTTCCGCCGCCGGCGATTCTTTCTTGAGCTGTATATGAGCGATGGTGTTTTCAAAGTGTTTTCGGATCAGCTCTGTTTCATCTGTTCCTTCCAAACCGGGAAGATCTTCTCGGATTTTTTCCAGCAACTGATTAATCACAGTGACTGTAACCTGATTTGAAATAGAATCCAGTATGAAACTTTTAATGAGGAGAAAAGACCCATCCTAAGCTTCTAGTCAGCCCCGGGAGGGGGGGGGGGTACTCACTATGATCCCCTATACGGGGAGGCTACACCCAAAAGGGGTACATTTTTCAAGAATCAGGTCTACGTAAGGGTAGCGATTTTACTAGTCTGCTACACAGCCGTTTCTAGTGTCGTCACGCAACGCTCCTGAGGATTTTACCAGGTGAGTGAGAGATATATCAAAGGGTAGGGAAATATGTCTTTCCCTCTGTAAAAAGCCTAAAAGGGCTAAATGACGTATTTTATGGCTGTGGATTCGAGAAAACATTCTGGTTTTGTGATTTATTCATATTTCAAAGACAGAGCAGTTACAGCAGTTAAAAGGGATGCAAAGTCCTAAACTAGGTATACGAAAGGGGTACCATTTGTCACTAGAAGGTATACGAAAGGGGTACCTTTTCTGCCAAAAATTGTATATAGAGGGGTAAGGGGTTGCTCCCCCCTCCCCCGGGAGGACCTCAGCCCAGCAATGATAGCCACGACTGGGAGTTTCTACCTTTGATGGCAAGCTTTTCATATGCAGTTTCCGGTTTCGGCCGAAGATCTGTCAGCCTGTGACCGACATTGTAACATGCTGCACGTGAGAAAAAGAAACCTCTGGTACCTAGGGTAGAGGGTTTCAGGTTTCTGTCAGGTCCCGAATCTGTTTTGGAAGATATACGGTAACTTCAAAAAAAGTGTTTTGGAAATTCCAGTTTGTCACCAGAAATCTCCAAGAAAGTCCCCAAAGTTAAAATAGGCCACGGTAAGTAAAAGAAATTGGATACTGCAAAGATAGTAGGATAAAAAATAAACTTGAATACCGAGACAATAGGTCTCTATCTGTCAAATTAATAAGGTAGAAATTGTCGTCAGAAAATTCCTCGCTTCAGAAACTCACATGAGAATAGGTACAAGCTCTGGGTGCAGTGACTTCTGGAATCGTTTGGGTGGACAAGCATTAGTCATGATTGGACGACGGTAGACTGTTCGCAGTCCCCTATTTTTTCGTGAGATCGTTTAGATATACCACGTCTTACCGTCACGGGTATCTTGATTTTCAAATGTACCGAGGGGGCTGGCGTCCTCCTATCCGCCCCCGCCCCCTAAGTAGTTTTAACACTTATGCAAGTTGGCAGCCCGTAACAGAAAGCGCTCGATCTCGATGATCTTACGGAAAAATAGAGGACTGTGAACAGTCTAGGACGACGGTATTCAAGGCAACCATGCTCAATGTTTAGGATAATCAAGTCTGAGGAGAAGTCGGGTGCAGGTAAAATGTGTGTTGGTATTCAACTTACCGTGTCTGCTTTCTTTTCATAGTAGTAAAGGTAGCGATTGAGGACTTCTACAAACAGCTGCACCTGCGTAGTGGTGTCCATGCACTGGTTACCGATTCTAACAGCTTTCTTTAGGCACTCAGTTACTCTTTTACTGTCCCGACACTAAAACAGTATAACATTATTAAGATTAACAAATTGATTCATGGAGAAAAACAATCCTACTCATCTCCTGGGGATTCTAAGTTACTAATAATATTGCTAAAATTATTCAGATACGTTGACTGTATTCTCCCATCCTGATCAAGTACTACTATTGTGGATGGGTGGGGTAGGAAGTTATCTCTCTAGTCCTCTCAGCATGAATGCAGTGAATGAGCCATTGACACGATGACATCTTTTTACTACTAAGACCAGAATTCAATTCGTTTTTCCTTTCATATTCAAATGTGGTTGTCCTAGTGAGGTTTAATTAACAAAAGCCTCAATTTGCACAAGAAAGCAATACCCTGAAGGATTCTGGTCGTAGTAGTAAAATGACGCCGTAGTGCAAATGGCCTATAGACTTGCATAGTTGAAAGGGTCATAGAAAGAACTTGAGGTACATGCGCCCCTTATCGCTGGATTCTCTGCCGAAGACTTACATCCTAAGTCTGTGCCATTCTCTCTGCTAAGATGGTCTAGAAGTCAGAATTCCCTGCGCAATACAAAATTTGAAGGTGTTTACCAGTCAGGAACAACTCACCTTCCTATAGAAATTTCATAAGACAAACTACCAGCCTACTAGCCTGTCCTTAGATGTTTCAACAAGAAAGAGTGATTCGTGGTTATTCGTGGCTACCAAGTAAAATGCACCTTATTTCTCCCCCTTCAACCTCTTGGCCTTTTCCACACCAGAACAGGTGTGCACACACCCCAACAGCTACTGTATCTAGTAGAACGCTTTCTTACCTCTCCCCCTTCATCCTCTTGGCATTTTCCAGACCACAACAAGTGTGAACACACCCCAACAGCTCTTACCTAACCTAACTCAAGGCTTTCAAGTAGAATACACCCTTACCTCTCCCCCTTCAACCTCTTGGCTTTTTCCAGACCAGAACAGATGTGAACACACCCCAACAGCTCTGCACTGATCTGGCTTCTTCAGAAGTTTGGATGCAGCCAAAGCACACTGTGTACGCAAGGGCTCATGATTCTCCTCACCAAAACAGCTCATTTGCTCAAATGTGCTTATTATCAGAGTTATGGCAGCCAGCTGTGCTTTAGAATCACTGATCTCATCCTCGTACAGAGCAAATGCCTGGAAGAAGCAACACCGGCAAATAAATGTTGGGATAGTTCAAAAACAAGAGAAAGAGACAGCAAAAGCTTACAAAAAGTTGAAACCAAGCGCCCTGCTAAAGAGAACCCATGATTAAAAAAATAAATTGTGGACTTCCTGCTTAAAAATGTTCTTTAAATTAATACTGATAAAAATTCAATCATTTAGCATAGCAGCCTTCATAAGAACCGCAGTCGTGAACAAAGATATCAAAGAATATCGGGTAGGCATGCAGCTCTGTGAAAACTTCCACCTGACTCATGAATTTATAAGAGCACCAATGATTTGAATAAGTAAACTTCTTGCTTTTAAAAAAATGCTCTTTGAATTCACAAAGAGAAAAATTCTCTCGTTTAGCATTACAGCCTTCATCAGAATGGCATAGAAATGTACCAAAATGGGAATGAATATCAAAGCAGACATCACTGTTTACAAACATTGACTTTGTTATTCTAATTTATAATGACTGAAACAATAGAATATTTTGTATCACAAACCAATGTACTTCTGGTTGGCACATTAATATCAAAGAGTGATGAGCATCGCTATTGGGTGGACATGCAGGACTCTGAAAACACTCACCTGACTCATGAATTCATAAGCAACTGTTTCAGAGTTTGAGAATCCAGTCTGGTCAGCCACCAGAGAACCTTGGAGGAAAAGTCTTAGTGATAACTCAGCGTACTCTGCTTTGGCCAGTGCTGTGATTGTCTGATGGCAGAACTGAAAAATCTTCTGACATTTCTTGTCCCACTTGTCATCCTGCAAAAAGGAAAAAAAAATTACAGTCAAACTCTGTTAATACAGACAATGACGGGGCCATCAAAAGTGTTCGTATTAACAAAGTGTCCATATTAAGTGGGTTAAATCAATGTAAGGGCTAGGGACAAGGAAAACTGTCTGTAATAATAAGGTGTCGGTATTAAGCGGGCGTCTGTAAAGCGGGGTTTCACTGTAATAAAGGAGTCTAAATACTATTTTCATCTAGACTCTTTCCTGAAGATTACGAGGATCATGGGTCACGTTTCTGGGGAAAATGATATACTCGGTTTACTTATTAGTTGCAGATTGAACTAAAGCTGCAAGAGCAATCACCAAGCAAGGGTGGTGCAGCGGTGAGAGCTTTTGCCTCCCGCCAACGTGGCCTGGGTTCAATTCCCAGCATAGATGCCATATGCATGGGTTGAGTTTGTTGTTGGTTCTTTCATTTGCTCTGAAAAAATTTTTTTCCTTAGATGCTCTGGTTTTCCCCTCTCCTCAAAAAAACATTTTCAAATTTCAAGTCAATCAGAAATCAGGTAGACTATGTGGATGTGCTACCTCTACATCACGATTTGCTTCTTATTTAAATGTTTATTTATTTATCACCAGCATCTTGACAAAAAGTTGAAAGCCCTCATCAAGGCTGTGCTCTAGTGATGCCCGGTGGCCTCTGGTGCCTAACGTTTGTTTGTAGAAATCATAATGCTGGGCACCCTGGATTTTAACGGTTTAGAGCACTAGGCTCCTTTCAGCACAGCCTTACCACGTTTGCTTTTGGTCTACTGAATGACTCCTGCCTGAAGAGTCAAGGGACAATGTTTCTGAAAAGAAAACTGTCATTGCTATGTTTTGTTCGCAGGCAAAACCATCAGCCTACCATAGGCCAAAAAACAGGCAACTGCCGACCGACAGTCAATTCACAATCAGCCAACAGTTGACTGGCAAGTTCTAAGGGAACTGTGCTTCACTTTTTCCCACTGCTAACTTGCTGACATTATTTTATTACCTCTTCACTAGCATCTCTGTACTGGTAAGCAAGCTGGAATGCTGAGAACACAATAGGAGGTAATGTGTACTTTATTCTCTTTTCTCCACCACTGCCAAAGTGTTTTCTTGCTGTGTTGAGGATCTAAATAAGTGTAAAGTGTGATACAGAAAAAAAAACAACCCATGGGTAAGAACCTGCATGTTATTATTGGGATGCCCGTGAGGGCAATGCCCAATCAAGAAGCAAATTCTTTCTATGTCAGAAGAGACAAAATGGTGGATGGAACTCCCAGAAGGCTTTGCATGTCCCATTCCCTCCTTCAATGAAGCCAATTTTTGTGGGGAGGAGACGGGTCATTCCAAGTCATGTGGCGAACAAATTTGGAAGTTGATTTGGAACAAACAAGAAATTATTGCGTGGAGTAAATGGCCCTATATCTACGACAAATGATTATCTAAACACAGCATACAATGATGTTGTTTGCCTGTGTGGGAGCTGCAGAAACAATGCCCTCTCACGGACCCACAGAAAAAGATTTGACTTGTTGCAATTCTCTCCCAACATGTGAAGGGTCTTTCCTCTATTTATAGATTTCCCCATCAAATACAAACATATTCACTTGGATAGTGAGAAGGGCTTTAAATGCAATATCCGACAGAAATAAAATTGCTTTTTGGTTTTCAAGAAACAGAAATTCAGTATCGTTTAAAATATCAACATTGACCCAGTCACAACATTATTGATAAGTGTAGAACTACAATAATTTCTGGTTAGATCAGATTAGTCACATTAGTACTGCCATGCTATATTTTTGGTGTTAGATGGATGGGGCGAGTTAATGTCCAGTTAAAAATAATTCCAGTCATTTCTTACTTCAACAGGCTACCTCTAGGTTAGGAGCAGCCATGCATTCAAGCTGGTAAAAAGTGTAATTATAATGTATTTGTAGTTAATTTTTTATTTCAGGTCATTTTTGTTTTTCTTTTGTTTTTGGGTATGGTAATATATGCTAATGAAGATGAAACAAAAGAAAAATAAAAATGGCCTGAGATAAAAAATTAACTACAATATATACTTCCCCAAAAATAATTAACCACTGCATCAAGCAGTTGGAAACCCAATGAACTGCCACTATATGGGGGTCTTGTTGTAAAAAAAAAAAAACAAATCAATAGCAATCTTCCAAGATCTGTACCCTTATCTACCATGGAAATGACGTCAAAATGTTCAAAACTTTACAGTGAAACTACTCCCCTCCTCCTTGTGGTTCCACTTGAGTTTAGAACGTTTTGAGGTCATTTCTATGGTCAATAAGAGTACAGCATGGTGGAAAATTACTGTTGACTTGTTAAAAAGTCAAAATATTGAAACTTTTGGAGTACAGTCAACAAGAAAAGAGAAAGTCAAGTATCTGCATTGTATTATACGCTGTAGGTAGGCATATTGTATGAAGCTGGATATCTTTGGGACCACTGGCATTTTCTATGACTTTTTCCATAAACTTTTCCAGTTTTCCAGGAACTTAGGTTTGGTAGACACTTTATAAATTTTCAAAACTAATCTTGTTTTAGGTGATTTTCTTTTTACCTAAATCAGTTTAACAGACACAAACTCTAGTCTTCACCAAAACGCATTGGGTTTGCGCTATTCAGTTGCTTGTCTCTGATTATTTCGTCCATGCTTTGACATCTGCAGTAACTAATTTACCAAAGATAACTTCAATTTTCCATGACTTTCTAGGTTTTCCATGATCCACAAGAACCCTGTCAATGTTAACCAGTTTGAAGGAGATTCAAAGCTACAACTTACCAGGTACTGCTGGTCAGGATTGTCACTTTTCAGCAATGTCACAAGTTTTCCCATCAAGCTCTGCTCTTCTACAAAATCCTCAGGATCATCCTTTGTAAAACAGAGAACAAAGAATGTCATGCACTTCTTTCAATGGACCTTGCCATGAGTCTCACTCATCTCATGCACCCTTGCCCCTCCCTTTCAATTTCCAAAAAAGTAAGGCAATTAAGATTAAAGGTTTATTTTTAGTGGAAAGTGCACTTAGCTTATCCAGCAAGTTTACAGGAACTCAACTCAATTAATAATTTTGAAACAAATAATCCATTAATAGAAAATAACAGAATTAAAAACCCCAACAGGAAGGGTCAGAGACAACCAGTTTGTTATTTACAAGGTGGCCGAGAGTTTGAACACAGGAAGACCGGGCACAAATCGAGTAAGTGGCCAGAGCGGGACTCAAACCTGGGTCTGCTAGATTGTGAGTCAATGCGCTGACCAGTCGGCCATACTGCGCCACCTCCCCACCCCCAACAGCTGCCATCATAAGGAAAGCTCTATCTTTATTCTATGTTACAAACATTTGGTGTTACTTTGACTACACTGGCATCTGTTGACATGTGCTGGCCAAGACCTCAAATCGAGGTCTAGTTTTGATACCAATGATTTAAGTTACTACTTTCAAAGTATAACTCAAATAAACAGTATAATGTTATTATTTGAGGACAACCAATATTATTCGTGGATGGCACTTTAACACAATACTAGGTACAGTATCATTTCTTTCTGTTTTTTGTCTACAAAACAATAAAAACAGAGCAGGAAGAATACAATAAAAGTTAGTTTTAAAGGTCTACGTCCTTTTCCAGAACCAAATAGATAACGATATCAGTTATATTAGCATTTTAGTAATAACCATATCCAGAAACAATGCAGGGTGCCACATTGAATGTTGCGATATGGAGGATGCGGTATTTATTAACAATTTACTCTTGTTTATTAGGAAAGGTGCTTTTTAAGTAAAAATTGGTACTATTTAAGTCTTATTTACTAACTGGTTCAGAAGGCTGGTCATCCTGATCACAAACCAAACTTGACACCAGATTAAGAACATTATCTACCTGAAAAGAAAGCTAATTTTAGTCACTTTACTGGAACTTGGACATCACTGAGCAAAAGGGTCACTGGTCCCGGATTCGGCCCATTTATGAGCCTATAAAAACCCACTAAGCCCATGATTTATGTGTGACGTGATAACAGAGGGAGAAGTAAGCCAAATCCCCAGAGAAGGAAAGTTAACAAGAAAAAATGCTTTCCAGTTTATTTTACCAGAGTAAGTAAGTTTTGGAGACAGAGATACATATATGAGGCAAAGTTGTGGTCAACATTCTTTGTAGAACAGAGAGGAAAAGGCACACTTCCGTTAATTCGTTAAAATGATACCAAAAAAAAGTTGTTTTGCTTTTTCTGATTAATAGATGACTCAAACATCAACTTTTTTGGGGCTCATTGAGCTGTAAAGTAAACAAGAGCAAAATAGCATTGAACTTGATAGAATACAAGTAATTTTTAGCCAAAAATGACAACAACAACAACAAGTAGCACAGAATTATTACATAGGCCCCACAATTCTGTCAGTTGTCCAATGCTGAAACATTTGTTGCAGTTAGTGTCACTATTCTGCCTTTACATTCCCATAAAAGTCATGCCACAAAATAAGGCACACAGTCAAAATAAACACACAACAAGAGGGCATAATAAGGGGGAACACAGCCCTGTGGCAGGCAATTACGGTCTTGGGGTTGCACGCACAAACAACACCAAGCCCGAACTTATCACCTGACCATTGTGGAGTACAATAATAGTATTGGCAGATTGACCCCTTTTTATCTCCTCAGTGCCACACAGGCTGGATAAGACAAGAGCTCAGCTTGTCCCCCTTAGGCAATCTGTTTTAATAAGTGCACTTAGTACATGCAGTGGAACCTCAATTTAACGAAGGGCCAAGAGACTGCCAACATTTGTTTGCTATAACAAGGTTTCGACATGTTGTGGTTCTTTTTCATATATTTTACTATTACTTGGGTGAAGAAAATCATTCATCATATCAAGGACTTTGACATATACTCGAGGTTCGCTACATCGTGGTTCCACTGTAACTCATTAGTGAACTTATGCAACAGGACGGGAGAAGAAAGACGACGGCAAACCTTGTATAACAAGTGTGACAACAATTTTGTTTGAAAAAACCTTCCGCCAAACTTCCCATTCCTTTTAACAGATCTTTTTGTAGAAGAGCAAAATAAAAAACGACAATGCTAAGTCAATTCCCGACAAAACACTAAGTAAGAGCCCCATCATGTTTGTCACACTCAAGCGTTTTGCCGTCCTGTTGCATAACTCCATATTGACTTGCCTGCTCCTGTGTAGGGATTTTCACAGCACTCTCCACAGCATTGGTCACCACATATAACGACATCTCTTTTCTTGAAGTGTAGTCAAAATAATCAAACAGGGGTGAAAAGTATTGCAGCTTTAGAAGAGTTAAAATGTTGTTGTATGAATCAACTGGAATCTTCAGAAGCCTGGTCAATTCCTTTGAAACTGCATTATTCTTGTCCATGCTAAACAATTCAAAAGGCAACAATGTTATGTTTTTCATGAACTTAACTTGACAATTCATTTTGCACTAAACTACATACAAAAACGAAATACTTATAATATATTTGGTTTGTACATTACACAGGGGTAAAACACTAATGGTCTCTACACATGTTCATGTGCATGTACTGCCAATGTTTGCCTTGTGCAAATGGATTAATTTTGCTACTAGGGTACTGTCTACAAAAATGACTACACTCTAACAAACTGACCCCAGTTGTTCAAATGTTGGATAGCATTATCCACCAGATAATCTCTATCCAGGGAATAATGCAATTCGTCTTCCCAATACTTATCTGCTGGATAGTGATTTATCTGGCCCCGGTTGTTCAAACGTTGGATAGCACTATCCACCGGATAAATCCAGGGTTCATACAAAAAATTGCAACCATTTTTCAAGGACTTTTCAAGGACTTTTCAAGGACCACATTAGATTTTCAAGGACAACCTACTAGGAATATAATTTCACAGATTGTACAAAAATGCATATTCCCAGTATATTCTAATAAGACTTTAAGGCTTTAACTGTTTGCTTCACCAAATTATCTACATTTTTCAGTTCACTTGTCTTAAACTGATAGTTAATTATTGCATAAAACATGGAGCACTTTATGTAAATCACCTTTACATTCACTGAGCTACGATTTATATTCTGTCTTGGACAACCAAAAAGCATCAAAAAATTCTTTCCAGGCTACTACATTCAAAGTTGAAGAAAATTCAAGCTCTTTTCAAGGACTTGCACAGAAATTTAAGGACTTTTCAAGGAAAAATGGAATTCAAGGACTTTTCAAGACTGTGCAAACCCTGAAATCACTATCCAGCGGATAAGTATTATGGAAATCAATTACGCTATCCACTGGATAGTGATTTATCCGCTGGATGGCGCTATCCAACGTTTGAACAATCGGGGCCTGGTGGATAGCACAAGCGAGCTTTAGATTCTAAGACAGGGCTTCTGATAATTCGCGGAAAAAAAAGTCAAAATTATTTCGCGAGATTTTTGAGGGCAAAATCGTGGAAAAATTGGCCGATTTCACGAGAATTTCGTGGAAATTTTCAGGGCAAACTTGGCTGGAAAGCAATCGGTAAAAAAACGGCGGATTTTGTGGTTATTTTCAGGAAAAATTTTGCAAGAAATCGATCGGTTTTGCGCTGATCAGACCAGCGTTTTTAATGTTTTTCTGACAGAGGTCATCATTATTTTGCTCTTTCAACAACAATACGCTCCAGAAATGAACCAGTGGCAAAGCCTTTTAACATCATGGCTAGTGCCCAGTTTTTCGCAACATAATCTACGCCTGGTAGTTTCGGAACGTTGTTTCCACATTTCTGTGAAGGAGTTTTGACATAATTATCCGAGTTTACGGCAAGTAAATACCCCCAGTAGCTGAGACAAGTTTCAAAATTGCTGTACAGACATGTATTTGATAAGATTTCTACTGAGTTTTGCAGTATTTTGCGTGTTTTCGCAGATTTGCCTGAATTTCGTGGCTCCACGACCGCGCGAAATATCAGAAGCCCTGCTAAGACAAGAATGACTACAAGAACAAGATTTTCTCAATTTACTGAGAATTGCTAGCACATGAACCAGCATCATTTTGGCAAGAAAACGTGATAGCCATTGTCATCCTCCTACAGGCTTAAGCAAGAATGTCCTAGTGTCCTGTGTTAGAAGTTTTATCATTTTGCGATTGGTAGAGGGCTTAACCTCCTTTAATAAAGATAACAGCGCTAACTTTGCTGATGAATGAAAAGTAGAAAGAAGCGTTCCGGGGTACCTATTTTTGGAGAATACACGAAAAAACTTTAGGCAAATCTCATACTCATAGTCATTCTCATCCTCAAATCTATAGCTCTCTATTATCCAACCATTGATTTGAACAACTGGGGCCAACAAAACACCTGTAATTATATTCATACTTAAAAAAATATAATGAACCATAAAAGGGATGTCACAAACTGAGAATACAGAAAAGAGACTATATAAACATGAACAAACAAAACACAATCTGAGGATCACTATCAAGGCACTAGATGTGGTAAACAGACTACTTTTCTAATTTTGTGGTGGGGTAAAAATTTCAAAACAGTAGCCATTTTCTCTGAGGCATAAATTAATTTAACCTTGCTCTCCAACAGTACACCATGTGATACATCACAGACGAATAATTAAGAGAGCTGTGTCACAAAATTTATCAAAATTCAAAGAGTGGGAACTGCCACCAAATTAAGGGAAACATTAAAATAACCACTCAAAACATTAAAAGAAGGTATAAATAAATAACACAGCAAATACAAATGGCGGCACGGATAGGCAAACTTGAAGAAGTGTGAAATGGATTGCAATAATTGTTGGTTTTTGCAAACTTGTCAGCCTAAGAGTTTTTCAAAGTCTACTTTTGTTGCCTGTAATGTTTGCTGAAAGCACACAAGGAAGCATAATTGGCATTATTAACAAAAATGAACTAATCAGCCATGACACAGCCGCCTTAACCAGACTTAATTAATCCATAATAACTACTAGTGACTTACTGGGCCAGGTTAAGCTTGCTGAAGATCTCTGATGTGTACTGCAGGACTTTGTCCACATAATCTACTCTCTCAGGATAACACTTCAGAGCAAGGTTTATGAGAGAAACCTGAAGAGCTACTATGTCTTCAGTTGGCATTTCACTGCGTGTCTGAACAAAAATATAAAATGTACGATAACCAAAAAAATTAGCAATGATGATAACTATACATGATAATGACGAAGGTTGCCTTCCAGTATACAGCCGAATCCTGATTTTTCAACCCTCCCGGTATGGGGGGAAGCACAGACATGGAGGAAGAAATTAGTTTACATGACATATTATGACGTGTATCATACTGCTCAGATGCAAGCACATGCATTTGATTCATTTAAGGTGTGAAATTCATTCAACCTAGTTGTGCTTTGCCTGTGACAATGTTTACATTTGCTTGCATTGTTAAATGTGGTTTTCTGTTAACCAAAGAATGTTACACGGTGTCAGGAGTATTGAAAGTGTTTGGTGCCTCTCTTTTGCTAGTTTTATTGCCCGTTTAACGTTAGCCTGGGCGAGTTTCTTTAAGCAAGTTGTACTATCATGCCGGGTACTGATGGAGAATCGGTGGTCAAAACTCCAGTGGATAGTGCAATATTGGTTTCCCTAATACTTATCCGCTGGATAGTGATTTATCCAGTGGATAACACTATCCAGCTTTTGAACAACCGAGGAAACAGATTAAAGTACAGGCCTAGATCAACACTATTATACAGATAATGTTTGCAGCTACAGCTGTAAGTACAAACTAAGCTTTTTCACTCTAAGATCTCTTTTTTTAAAATTTCACATGCATACCTGAACAACAGTGGAGACTTGTTCAGACATCACATCAAACAACTTGATTTCCCTCGGAATTCCACCATCTTCCCGGTTTGCAAATAAAGCCAGCCTATCAATGAGTGATATAATAATGTTTTTAATGTTCACTTTTTCGTGAAGCTCAGCACATGCTTGAAGAAACATGCTCAAAGTTCTGAGATGAAACTCATCGGGGAAGACTTGGATGACACATTCCATAAGATATTCCTGGGCAATTGGATCTCTGCAGCTCACTGTTTGTTCAAATACTCCTGGGAGGACATTCTGTTCAACAAAAGAATTACAAAAATTATTTACAACCATAAAGAAACAACAAAACACACATGTAACCAAAACAAAAAAGTTAATGACCAGAAACCTAACAGCTAACACCTCATGGAAATAGCATGGAAATAGAGGATGTTACTTGGCTGTGCAGAGATACAAAATTTTCAACAAGAAAAAATTCATTTTGTATCTTCAAGCAGCCATGTAATGTTCTATTTTGACTTTAACTTTTTTTAGCTGCAAAAGGCATAATTTATCTTGTAGCCATAGCAACCATGATATTTTCACCTGTGAAGATAACATGCTATTTTCACACATGAGGATATCATGTTTTCACGTGAAAGCTTGCCTGGTATTTCACAGGTGTTTATATCATAAAAAAATTTTCTTCGCAAGTGCTAACCAGGGTCAGACCTGTCCAGTTGTAAAGAGAATAACAAAGAGTTTACTGGGCTAAATGCAAATTTTAAAGCTGCCTGATTAAAGTGGTTCAATCATACACATGAAGAACAATTCAGATTTGGATTTGGATTTTTAACCTTTTTCTGTATTTTAGATACATGAAACTAACATAAATTTTAAACATAGACTAATCAACAAACAAAGGGAAAAGAATAATAAAAAGGACCTTCACTGGAAGTTAAACAAGGTACAAGGCAAACCAGTTGGCTATTTTACAAATGTGGACAAGGGAGGTCTGAGGCAACTGGGACAGACTTGAGCTCGGGCCCCCCAGTTTACCAGTACAGTGATCTTAACGCTCCGTCAGGCTTAAGCAAATGAACATTTCCTTGTCATGCAGTAAAAATTTAGGCTGTAACAACCTGCCCCCTGTTACTCAGTAGCTTACTTTCTTGTACGTTTCAATGTTGACTCCTTCTAGCTGACTCAGTCTAACAAGATTTGTTCCTACAAGGATGCGGAGTTCATGCCGCTCACGTTCTCTCTTTTCTCGTTCTCTGGTATGTCCTTGATGCTGAATTCGTACCCACAGCTTGTTCATCTCAGCAAAGTTCAAGAGCACAAATGAAATAGAATCTTTCACAGTTCCATCATCATGCTCTGATTCGGAACTAGAATAAACAAACAGATTGCAAATGAGATTTAAGAAAAGACCAACCTTTTGTAAACATATAGGTTAGCTCCATATAAGTTACATGTATCTCTGGAATGATAGAGCTCGTCCTGGAGATCACTCTACTGGGCTATTCCTTTGATTCCTAAGTGAAAGATGGCAAAAATCACTCACATGGGATGCTGGGTGCAAAGAAAGTCAGTTTTACAGCTTGCCATTCGGGTTAGCTGTAGCTAGCAAGTACTAGCCCAAACATCACTTTAACTAGCCCCAAAAGCGTTTGGACAGGCAGGTTTGAATACACAGTGCTTCTGTAATTTGAATTCTAGAAAAACTTTACTTGCCCATCGGGCAAGCTAAGAACAAAATTCACTAGCCTGATAGCAAAATCCTCTAGCCCCAGGCGGTCCAACAGTACTTTCTTTGCGTGCTGGGATGTAAATCAAATTCAGAAATTTTGATGCTCTTAAAGTAATTATTACTTTAAACAGAGGAACCTTTATATAATGACAGACCAAGTGACTGGCAAAATATGCTGCCAAGAAATGTTGTGATCACAAATTAGCAATTAGTGTGTAAAAATATCAAGATCTTCTTGACAATGGTTAAACTTTCCGCCAATCAATTTTATTGACATTATCTTACGCTGCTTCATCCACTCCAATATCTGGCAACATGTTCCTTGTCATCTGTAGCAAATAGTTGCGAAGAAACAAGCCTCTAAGTGGATGCTGGACACCTCTGCACATTTCAACCAAGTCTTTTAAAATATCCTTGCGAGATGCTTCTTTAGCTTTGATGTACACAGCTCCAACTGTTATCAACAAGTACCTTGAGATGAAAAAATTAATAATATTAGGCTGTAAGAAATTCAAAACACAGCTAAATCAAACTGTGCTCTGTGTCCAAAATCACTTTACAAATTAGCTGAGTTAGTCATTTCTTGGCTCTACACCCACATAAAATGCGCCATTAAACTTCACACTACTTCTACAAGCCTCAATGTACAGCTGTAATTTCTTAACTGGGGCTAAAACTAAGACCCTGACTGAGTGTTTATTTAGAGAAACCTTGTCCCTCCCAGCCTAGCCAACTTTAGAAAGCGTTTACATAAGAAAGAAGTTTACCCCTTTTCCCTAGCCAAGAGCACTCATGCATCCTTTGAGTGTCATGCTTGACCAAGTTGACCTTGCTGGGCGAGCCAAATTGTTTATATGGAGAACAGTGGGCATAGCCGGGAGGATGACCTGACCATCGAAAAAAGGCACAGCTAGATGAGTCACCCTTCTAGCAGAGCCAACTTTTTGTTTCTCATGTCAAGGGTTCGTCAAGTTTCATGAGAAAATAAAGGAAAAGTTTGTTTGCCCAGGATAGGCGAGTGTCATTTCTACCCACAAAACGCCTTCTCCATATAAATGTGCCTAATTGAATATGAATGACTGCAGAGGCAAACTCGTTAACAAAATCAATCTTGATTTAATTATTTCTTTGCATTTACTTCAACTTACAGTCTAGGAACAATGTTCCCTGCATACTGAACCAGTTCATAAAGATCAGCCACTCTACGGCCTTTCTGGAACTCATCAACCAAGAACAGCTCCAAATGACGCAGCTCATCAGATATTGCCATGTCTTGTTAGTTGTTAAGGCCTTCAAAAATATTATTTTAAACATACAGTAGCAAACACAGTCTAAAAAATACATACTTTGTTACAACAGTGATCACCAGAAAACTGCTACAAAAGCCAAATCTAATGAGAATTATGTTATTATTTATTTAAAAACATGCTTACCTCAAGCTATGTAATGTTCTTATCTTTTTAGATATTTACCTGTCCTTTACAGGTTATGAAGGAATATTCATTGTAGAAGGCATTCATTAAATAGTTGCCATCCATTAAGTGGTATTTTTATTACCCTTCCTATCTTTGCTATAATTTGGCTATTTCTCCTTCGCATCACTTATGAAATTGCCTGCTATTTTCTCTAATTCTGCCAAAACAGGGAGCTGCCACGCCTACTGTCGTTCCGTGTTCCATTGATACCTATACGGTTGACGTCAACTGTATACCTTCTATATTTGGTAAACGGTTGCTAGTTATGAAGAATTAGCCAGGGATTTTGAGCCAATAAGAAACGGAGAAACATTTTGAATGAATTATAACAAGAATTATAATCCACACATTTTCCTAAAGGCAAACCCATAGTGCAAAAATGTCTTGATACAAGTGTTTACTTAGACAAATATACAGAGACAGCTAGACACAAACAGTGACATGTACAAAAACATCTGGATGATCTCATTTTTTCACGCTTCTGTTATTCATGTCTCTCAAATGAAATCACTTCCTGGATCAGGGTCATTAGCATTCTGTGCGGAATGAAAGGTCGTCGGATTTCATTATGATAATATAAACTAGTTAAAAAGCCAACAGCATTATTTAGCGAGGAATCTCTTTTTCCAAAATTCAACGAGTAAAGAAAAGCTGAGTTAAAATGTGATCGTCCCCAGAAGAGAAATCTTAATCTTGAGAAGTTACGGATCGGTTTGCACCGACTACAAGGATACACAACTCATAGTAACTTTTTGGTGAAAGCATTGAGGTTCTCAGCTCGCTTAACATGTTTGAAGCGTGTTTTAAGCCATCCATAAGCTTCCCCTTGTCCTGAAATGAGATATCTCAGTCACAAAACAATGAAAAATAGGACGAAGAAGTGAGTACAAGTAAAACTCACCAGACATCGTTTCATCTGAAAAGACTGCGACTTTACAACTTGAATGGCCTCATCCAGAAGTTTTTCCTGGTCTTCCTGCGAAGCTGATTGCGTCACAGGCTTTGAAAACAATTATATATTAGGTTAGTATCACAATTTTAAACTGTACTTATCCGCTTCAACCACGAAAAAGGAGAAATTCTCACCATTTTCGCGAACTTGAAGCTCCTTGAAACATGCACAGAAGGAGCACGTGACCATTTCTGACTGGGACGCCTCCTCGTGCCCAGACCTAGAACGAGCAGCCCCGAAGATCTAACGAACATTTTCGCAAGTTACGAAGACGTAATCGCCGGACGGTTTTCTGACAAAGGTCAAGAAAGCACGCAAAAACTCGCGTTTACCCCGCTGCTGATAAGAGGATTTGTCATGGGGATTCAGAGATCTCAAACTGGACTAACTGCAGCTAACATAACTCTTTGCCGCTGAACATATTTTCCAAATATCTGACAGCGGTTTGTGTGAATATTCACCGGGAAACCCCGAGTTTCAAAATGGCGTCGTGTTGTCATAGTACTTTTACAAAGGCCGTTTTCCTGAGCATATTGGGAGCACTTGTAGACACCTTTTTGTCTGTTTTGTTGCTAATACATGGGACGAACTTTTCCAGATTCAGTGAACATTTGCAAGTGCAAGAATTCAAATTTTGTTCGTCTGTTTTTGATCTGTGGGTACTGTCAATTCTTCGTTCATGTAGTTTGTTTGGTGCAGTCTTTGGGCTTCTGTGCGCTAAACGCAAAAGAGATGCAGTTGCAAGGATTATTCTCCTAACGAAACCTTTACTGTATTACATTATTGCCTGCACTGTCTACATTGTAGTAAAATTTCTGCTGAGTACAGAATGTAGTATGGACAAGACTGCCAAAATCTGGTTTGACTGTTTTATGGGATGGACGTTTCTTGGTACCCTCATGACATATGGCCTATGGTACTTACTTTCTCGCATTAAAGTTGTCAGTCTATCAACAGAGCAAGAAATTGGCTCAATACAAGAACGGCAAACACTCCTTGGAATCGATGATTTTGAAAACTCAAGTGACAGCAACTGTGACGATGAAGACACACCAAGTGATAAAAAAGAAAGTAATATTTCAGCTTGGCGACTTATGTCCTATTGTAAGCCGGACATCCCTCATATTTCCTTGGCATCTTTATTTCTTCTCCTGGCAGCAGTTGGTGAAATATTCATTCCATATTATACTGGACAGGTTATAGATGGCATTGCAATAGAAAAGGACAAGGCAAAATTTGCAAGAGCAATTCTTATCATGGCTTTGATTTCACTGGGTACAGCAATCGCTGCTGGCTTTCGAGGAGGTTTGTTTAACTTAATTGAGGCAAGATTTAACAGGAGAATCAACAACTACTTGTTTGGATCCATTGTAAAACAAGAAATAGGATTCTTTGATGGCACAAAAACCGGAGAGATTGTCTCACGTCTAACCTCAGATACAACAAAAATGTCTGACCAAGTAGGACTCAACATTAATGTCTTACTACGAAACTGTGTTCAGTCCACAGGAACATGCATTTTCATGTTCAAGCTTTCATGGAAGCTGTCTGTTGTTGCCCTTATTGGACTTCCTCTTATAGCATTTATCTCAGATATTTATGGCGAATATTACAAGAAGCTCTCAACACAGGTACAAGAAGCGACTGCCAAAGCAAATGAGATAGCAGCGGAAGTAGTGTCTTCTATGAAAACAGTCCGCAGCTTTGCAAATGAGGATGAGGAAATTGGCCAATATAAACGAAGACAGAATGACATATACAAGCTAAAAGTCAAGGAGTCACTTCTTTACGGAGGTTATAGGTGGTGTACTGAGATCCTTGCTCTTGCTCTCGATGTTGTGGTCTTACTTTATGGAGGTCATTTGGTCCTTAAAGGAGAACTAAGTGGCGGATACCTAGTGTCTTTCATACTATATCAATTCCAGCTGTCAGGTTACATTGAAGAGGTTGGAGATATTTATACAGGCCTCATGGAGGCTGTGGGTGCATCCAAGAAAGTATTTGAGCTCATTGACCGTGACCCTAAGATCCAAAACAATGGTGGTGTTACAAGCAATGAGGTCTCAGGAGAAGTAAAGTTTGAAAATGTTTCATTTGCCTACCCCACAAGACCAGACATTCCAGTGTTAAGTAATGTTTCCTTTAGTGCAGAAATAGGTGAAGTTGTCGCACTTGTTGGACCAAGCGGTGGAGGAAAAAGCTCATGTATAAATCTTCTTCAGCATTTTTATGAGCCAACGGCTGGTCAAGTTCTGATTGATTCCATTCCAGTTAAAGATTATGAACACAAGTTTCTGCACACCAAAGTTGCACTTGTTAGTCAAGAACCAGTTCTTTTTGCAAGATCAGTCAAGGACAACATTGCATATGGCATTACTTCAAGCAGTGAGATTGATCAGAGTTTAGTGGAGCATGTATCCCAGCTTGCAAATGCTCACTCCTTTATCAGTGAAATGCCAGAAGGTTATGACACTGAAACTGGTGAAAAAGGGCTGCAACTTTCAGGCGGACAAAAGCAAAGGATTGCCATTGCAAGAGCACTGATGCGAAATCCACAAATTCTTCTTCTTGATGAAGCAACTAGCGCCCTTGATGCCGAAAGTGAGCATCTAGTACAGGATGCCATTTACAAGAATTTAACTGGTCACACAGTATTAATTGTTGCCCATCGGTTAAGCACTATTGAGAAAGCTGACAAAATTGTAGTCATTGACCATGGTAAAGTTATTGCACAAGGCAAACACAAAGAGCTTGTAGAGCAGAATGGATTATATGCAAAACTAGTGAGACGCCAAATGTTAGGCCTTGAAAAACGTTCTTCTCATGATGTTGCTCAAACTTCTAATAGATACTTGAGTCGGTCTAATTCAGAAAGTAGTGATAGTGGAAGTTCTAACTGTAGTTTGGCTATCTCAAAAAAATAAGTGTATGATAATGGTTGTTTGTGTTTGAAATTTGAAATTTCAACCAACACATTAGTTTTTACCTGTCAAAATATTGCAAATAAATTGCAAATATTTATTTTAAAGTAGTAGCCAATGGAAGATAAAAATATTGCGTTGTATGCTCAAAAACTTGTTGTATTGCAAAACGGAACAAAAATTCAAAGAAAAATTGTTCACCTATTATTTAAAGCATGTTACGATTATTTTATTTTATTGACATGATTTTAAGAAAAATAAAACGCATCAAACACAGAATTTTCTTTTTTCTTTCTTCCTTCTTTTTTTACTAACCACTTTCGAGTTTGTCATTTCTGAGAGACCAATCAAAATGTCTGACCAACCAAAGGTTTGTCTGGACCTTAATGGTCATCTTGGCTAGTCAACACATTGTCCTTTGACTGGCCATTACTTTGAGCCCTGTTTTATTTGTTTATCATTATTACTTGATCTTTTTTATTTTTCAAGTGAGTCTACTGGTAAAACATTACAAGGCCTATATGCAAGTCTAATGTGTCACCTGACTGTGACAGTGATATGGTAGTCACCCACCCCCTCCCTCCTACTGACACTTCAGATTAGTGAAATGTCTCAAATTGTAGTCCCGTACATAGGTTACCGTGACAAGTAATGTGCTGATTGAATATTTCGTAAAAGGTTATCCTTATGATATCTTGGGACATAAATTTCTTTCATCTGTTTTGAAGATTATGAATGAAATGCAGTTTTTAATTCCAGGAGAATTTCATTACATTATTTATATTACCTTGGAAAAATGTTTGCTTGGAGAGAATGAGAGTACACTTGGCCTTTCCTTAGCCATCTGCCCAGCTGGGTCAGTCAATATTCATCAAAACAATGCACACTTATGAAGACAGCACTAACTTGCAACAAAGCTTGTTCATCTTTTGGGGGTGAAAACTATATATCATTGAGAATATTTACATTCAGACAAATACATAATTTCGGGAATGATATCTAAGCAACAGATCTATACAATCATGGGCAAAAGGTTTGGGATGAATTTACAGGTGTGTCACGTTTTTGTCAAAACAATACCAAAATGTTGCAATTTCCTCCCCTTTTTATAGTTCAATTTGTGAAATGCGGCTACCCTGTTATATTAGGCTGATTTAGCAACAGAATGGGAACGTCATTTGACGACGGCGCGCGCAGAGCGGCAAATTGGGCACCGGAAGTCGTGTTTCGTCCTTTCTGCGCGCTTTCCCGTCGTCAACTGATGTTTCCGTCCTGTTGCTAAATTACCCTATTAAAAACCTCCAACCTAACAAAAGTGACCCTTAAAGTACATTATAGAACCTCCTCTGTAATCCCCTAAGCCCAGGGTACTCAAGTGTAGTGAGTAGAAATCTAATTCATAAACTTCTCATCCAAAGAACAGGGCCTTTCAGTTTGCTTAAAATTAGTTTTTGCGAAATGTATTTTTGGATTGTCTCAGTACTGTTACAAGGCTTGCAAATTCGTTAACACTGTAATGAAGGCAAATGAAGAATGATCCTCGCAGTTGTGAACGCGATTTGCGCAATTGCGTAAGAAGCCTGAAAAAAATTCAGGACTTCAACGGGATTTGAACCCTTGACCTCTCAATACCGGTGCGACGCTCGAGTTCTAACCAACTAAGCTATGAAGCCACTGATGTTTTTAGTGGTCAAGTATGTGTTCATATGTTCCCTTTTTCATCTCTTTCACGGGAACATATGAATTCATACTTTACCAGCTCCCAACATCAGTGGCTTCATAGCATCGCATCGGTATCGCGAGGTCACGGGTTCAAATCCCGTTGAAGTCCTGGATTTTTTTCAGGCTTCTCACGCAATTGCATAAATTGGGTTCACAACAGCGAAGATCATTCTTCATTTGATTTGATTTCTGCGGTTCTCATATTTGATTCATTTCATATACATGTCACTATGATGAAGAGTTGGTTTGTGAACTTAATGTAACTGGGCGAATTCTCAAAAGGTCATGCCTAGACTAAATAAGATACGCCCAATAAAACTGGCACGCTTAAGTCTAGTGGAACCATCTCTGTATTGGCTTTCATATACCAATACTTCCCTATAAAGATCTCTAAAAATGACAAGGATGATCATTCAAAAACACCCTGCTTTGTGGGCGTGGTTCAAATTCCTGTGGGCCCTAGAGAGGTTGGGCCCTTAGGACGGTACCAAAAAATGAACTGGCATGAGTAGAAAATAGTAGAAAATATAGGTTCCTGTCATTTTTCGGCTTAATAGTGTTTGAATGCCCATGAAAAACGTAGAGACAACTAAAGTGGCAGTTATTATAGATTTTGGCAACCTAAGTGGTAAGCATCAACAAATTATCTATCCCCCCGCCACACCCCTCTAAAAAAGCAAGAAAATGAGCACCCCTGAGTACAGTCAGTACAAACTAGAAGCTGGTAGAAGCTGAGCGAAAAGGAAGCGAGGGAGGGGTGGCCAGAATGCACATCTCAGACATGTACTGCAAAGAAAGCTGAAAGAAACCGCGGGGAGTGTGACTCCTATGTGAAGGGTCATGAAGGGTGAGACCAATCTGGGCGTGGCTCAAGCTTTAGATACCGTCATAGAAACAGAGAGCTAAATAAGAGCCATAGTTATTTTCATTGTGGTATGAGACGTGTTCATTGGCTGATTTCTCTTCTTTCCCATTTTCTTCTTCTGCCTTAATCTTTATTATAGTCGAACTTCTCCACACGGCTGCCTTGGGAACAGAAGAAAGTGGCTCACCAGGTGCTTAAGAAATCTAAAATTAATTCAACCACAAAATTTCCACACATTCATATAAGGAGGCTGTTGACTTGACTGTTGAAAGGAGCCTATCACCCAGGCTCCCGCTGTCGCCCATTTTTTTCATACTGTTTTTCCCCGGAGTAAAGGGAAATGTCCTCTGATAAAGTCCTTATAGAAAAAAGTAACTTTTAAGGAATTCTGAGGGACAAAACAAATTTCTCTTCTCTCCTTTTTTTTTTTTATTTACTCTCTTGTTTCCTTCATTTCAGTTGCCTTCGTTCCCTTAGTCGTCGCGAAAGACTGAGTCCGAGTTTTAACTATCACGTGACAAACTTGCCCGCTCAGTTTCAAATCGATCTCGTTTGTGAACGGTTCGACCTTGAAAAGTACGAAACGATTTTTTTAAAGAATAGAAAGACTGTATTTAGCACAACAAAGCGACCTTTATGATTTAAGATTTTTGGACAAGGATGGATCCTTTCACCCAGGTAAATTTCATGTTCTTATTCAGCTGCGCTATTGAAAAAATATGTTAAAGTTCGACTGTCGTTTATGGTTCAAAATTTATGATAATTTAAGGTTAATTGCTGCTTCTGTTTCTTCTGGTTTGTCATTAAATGATTTAAATACACTCTACTTTCATCGTTAACTAAGAATCTAGTCGAATTATAATTTTCTTTCCCTAGAAATCGATAACAGATGCTAAATGAAATGATCATGAAGCACAAGGAATTTAACCCGCCACAACTGAACTTTACTTACTTGATTGGTTACTAAACAAATTCAAAAATGTTTGAGAACACAATTCTCGATTACTCTGTCGTGGGTTCAAGTTTTCATTTTCTTCAAGGAAAATCAAGCTTTCTTCTGGCAGCTAACCTCTCTATATATTAGCACGCATGATCGTGAAAGCACGATGGCGCATTCCTTTCGTGCTAACGAAAAATATAAATGCTACAAAATTCCGGTTTATATTTTTCAGTAAAGCTTATTGTATTTTCTTGATTCGATTAGCAACATTATTGATCGTTTTTGTAACTGAAATTGATTATTGTTTCTTATTCTTTCAACAAAAAAAACCTGAACAAGCCCAATAAGCTCATCAGATTTTAATACATTTTTGAAAGATTATATTAAAAATACTTCTGTTTCTGTAACGTCTGTGAAAGCCTTACTCTATCACAGTTGGAAACGGTTCAAAACAGTTGGGAAGAATAATAATCTGGGATTAGCTCAATCCATCTTAGCATGTCTATTAGTTATTTTGCAACCGTCAGCTTAGTAGGTGGACTTTTTCTATGACTGATTCATTATGAGTCATGGGCAGTAGCATTTCTTTCCCAATCATTCCTTGACACTCTAAACTCGAGATTGCTCCCAATCTCTCAATTTAAGAAAACGTTTTCTTATTTTACACGAAAAATTTAAAACAAATCATAGGATAAGAACTCTTTTTTCTGTAATTTAAACAGGCAGTTTGAGTTTACGAGAACAAAATCTTATTCTATTATTTGTTCCAATTTTTTTTCTTAAAATAAGGAATCTCGAATTTAAAGTACATGGGTTGTGCTCAAAGAGAAGAAAACTTAGATTCACGCATTTTTTGAGAGTGTTGGTTGAGTGGTCGTAAAAATGAATATTAAAAGAGCTCATGAAAAATTAGGCAGAGTTTGAAAAATAAAATGAGTTTGGATATGGTTGATTCAGGGAGTGTTCCTTTTGGGATGATCAGGATCAGCATTTGTGTTGTGACCCAAGATTGATCATTGGGATGATGGTCCATCAAAGGAACCACTAAATCCTATTAAAAAACTGGACAGGGATTCAGCAGCACCATGGATATAGTTCCTGATTTTGAATATTCTCTTAAATTTTTACAGAAGTTATTGGCAAGAACCCAAGCAAGAAAGGACCAACTTGTAAAGAAACGTGAGGAGCTAGAGGCATGTAGAGCCAAAAGAAATTCACCAATCAAAGATCGCACTCGTCGTCCTCTCTCAGAAGACAACACAGACAGTGGAACTTGTGAGATCAATACTGATGAAATTAAGAGACGTCGAATCGGAAGCGATGACAGTGGAAAGAGTTCTGCTCTAAGGAATCCCCGGGATATCGATGTTAACAGTCCTTCCGTTCAGGTAAGCCTTGCAAACACCAAAATCATGCCAAAAGAAACTTTACAGCTGTTGATGTCTCCTTTTTGCAACTTTGGTTCTTGATGATGGTTTCTTTTTTGTTAGGCTCGTAAAGAAAGGCTTATGAAGATGCAACAGAAAGATCAAGAAAATGGAGTCACACCTAAAAAACACTGGAAACCAGCATTAACTCAAGGAGCTAAAGATGCCAACAGTCCAAGTGTTGCATCAAGATCAGCTGCCTTTGAAAATAACATGAGAGATGAGCAACAGGTAAGCAAACAGTGATCACCACGATCATGTACTCTAACATGGCATACAAGGGTAATATTCAAGTCTTAACATAGCAGCTAGTCCCTAGCAGGGCCAGGGATTTTGCCTTGATAATAGGGTATATTAAGTTTTGTAAACAGTTGACAACACAAAAAAACCACAAGCTTAGCCTTTTCCAAGCTCCAGAACTCTTCTCATCAATTTAAATGGCAGACCATGACATACAACATTTTTTTTTCCCAGGAGAATGCCAAGGACAAACGACTAGCAGAGCTCCAGTCATCCCAGACTCCTGGAAAACTGGCTCAAACACGCAGCATGTTTGAGAATACACCAGAACAAAGCAAACCCAGCATCACAGAAGATAAATTTTGTCCCCCACCAAAACCTCCCAGGGTAGCTGCCATAGCTGAAGCTAATATGGAGCATTGCCAGGCTGTAGATCAACAACAATCAACTAAGAGAAAAGCTCCATCTCCCCCTAAGGAAAAAGATGCCAGCAACGGAGAGATAATAAATGACGTCAAAGCCGTGGATGGCAAGACGGCATCTGTGGTGAAAAGAAGAGCTCCAGAACCTCCTACCTCCCCTAAAAACAAGGATAAGATTAGAAAAGAAGCCAATAAATCTTGCGATGATACAGAGTACAGGCAGGTGGAGGCCAAAGTGAAAACAACTCAATCACAAAGTATGTCTGCTGACAAGGAAAATGAAAAAAGTACAGCTGAGCCAGTTCCAGCAAAGAGGGAGAGGAAGGGTAGCATTGATGGTTTAGACAATGCCACGAAAAGTAATGTTGATCAACCTACTCCCACACCACGCAGAAAAGCTCAAACCTCAGCTGATGGCATTACAGAGGCAGAAAACCACAATGGACCTGTAAAGAAGCCAAAGAGAGCACAATCTGATGCTACAGTTACAATAGTAGCAACTCCTATTGTTGGTGACGAGAAAAGGTCAAAGCGAGTTAAGTCAAAGCAGAGGCCTGAAGAAGAGTCGTGCATCATTCAAGCACGTGTGATTGAGGAGAACCCCACAGAGGTTGCTGCTTTAAGCTGTGAAAACACTGTCACAGTCAAAGGAATTTCTTCTGATGGAACTGAGAGGAAAGGTGTTAAAACACACAGATCAGATAGAACAAAAGTACAGGTAAGTGTGGTGGATCCTGCTGAGAAACAACCTAAGAGGGCAAATGAGAAGTTTTCCGATGGTATCATCTTAGCTGTTGCACAGAAGCCTCAAAGCTCAAGGAAAACCAGACAATCAACTAAGAAGAACGACTTTGAATTCAAGGTTCCCAAGCAGCCAGTAGCTCCTGCTAGAGACAACTGCCATTTTGATTTAAATGAAACTGTCAACCTCAACGATGTTAACATCCATGAAATAACATTCAACTTTGACTTTGGCCAGTTTGACCAAGAGCTTGAGCAAGACAAAGGAAGTATGTTTGTGAGCTACGAAGAAAAGTGTAAACAGGTGTGGCTTTTTTTCTTCCTTCCATTTACGAGCCTGAGTGCATTAATTTTAATCCTAATCTCTTACAAAAAGGAAAAATACAATAAAAGCCAAATCATTGCAGCAATTGACATTATGCCAGTGAAATATGCCCTAGTATAATTAACAATTATTCCTCGAGCTTGAATGGGCTCTGAGTCAATAGCCCATGAGGCCGAAGGCCAAATGATCATGAGCTATTGACTCAGAGGCCATAAGGGTGAGAGGAATAATATTGTTTTAGTAAAATCTGACTAGTTTGTCAAAAATATCGAGAATAAAAAAAGTTTAGCTACTTAAAGCTAGACTTTAATCCTTTTTTGCTGTGAAAAAGCCGGTGCTTTTCACTGCCAGTGGGCATACAACATATAGCCTATTAGTAGCTCAACCAATCAGAATGCAGCACCACTAGTTGGATTTTACTAATATGTTTTATCTCAATCAAGCCAACTTTTGTCTGGGAGCTTGCATTGTTTGCACTCTACTTTCCTTTTCACCTCTAGTTACCTGTCAGAATTTCTGCCATTAACTGAGTGAAATGAAACAGCCTTTTGGCAGGTTATTTAATAAGTAAAGTTTGAGGCATTACAACAAGTTACTTATCTCTGACAAAAACACTCTCTTCACATGTTTTTATTAGTTGGAAAAGGAACGAAAAAGAGAAGAAAAGAAGAGAAAGGATAGTGCATCAGCCAGTCTTAATCCTAAATCATCATCAGGCTCATCAGAGTGCGACAGAGAAGAAAGAGGTTCTTACAAGTCAGGGTACAACAGTTCAGCGAGTGATCAATATGCAACTAAAACAGTGCTAAAGCCCAAGTCAGCAGTGCCACAGAGACCAAAAAGAACTCAAGACACAATAAAAGTAAGCTAAGTCTTTAATTGGATTTGCTCTCTTTTTTGAGAAAGGGGGAGGCTTGAAAACAATACAGTGGAATCCTGATTTCTTCTATCCCAACTTGGAAAAGGCAATTTGGTTCCAGTTATTGGGAGGTTCGTAAAATTGAGCGTAAAATAATGCATGAGTGTTTGACTTTTGAAGGGAAGTTAGATTTAGTTTGAATTACGATGGTTAGCTCTTATAAGCGGACACCCTCGGGGCACGAAAAAAACGTCCAAAACTGGAGCTGGCCGCTTATGAGAATCTAAAAATACAGAGTTTGTATGAGAGTGGGGATAAACAGGTTTTGTGAAGATGGCCATATTAAAGTATAACTGTCCACTTGCAAGAGTGTCCATTAGGCTAGGGGTGCTACCACTGTATCAGGAATTTCTCTACCAACTGAGATGCAAATAAGTGGTGGATGTTAAAAGTTTAGCCACCACAATATGTAGTGTACATGTTGTATGTTAGTGTCGCGCACACGCACCAAGCTCATGCAATCTTTGTTCACTGGCCATTCTTCCACTTTTGATATTGCAATGCGTGCATCTTAATCTGTTTGCCATGACTTAAGTCTATTGGCAATCAACTCCTGGAAATAAACTGCCATCCAAATAATGCAGTTACAGTGTATTCATCTTAAGCTTTGATGTAGTCTCTGTCAATTCAATTCAATTCAATTCTTTATTCACACTATACAAGATATTTACATAAGTGTACATAGTAGGAAAATAAAGTAGCTACAAATAATAATTAACTAAAAGATATTAAGTTCATTTGTGTACGGTGTCCAAAGTAGCAAGAGCTTTCTTGTTGGACACCATCATATTGAAATAATTGGCAGCAGTAAGGAGAGGAATAAAATCTCAAATAAATTCAGTGATAGAACATATAAGCAAGGTCAGATTTGGTTGGTTAGAAGACAGGACTTCCATTCTTTCTTAAACTTATGATATGGCAGACACTTGAGACCAGGCGGTACAGTCTCCCAGATTTTTGGAGCGGAGAATTTAAAGGACGTCTTACCTGGTGGATACTCTTGGCCTAAAATAGCTCAGATTACTGACAAATCTTGTATTATGGTTGTGTATACGCGATGCTGGAGTCAGGACATCAAGGAAAATATCTGGAATGCTATCAGTCTCATTTCTCATTCTATGTATAAAGCAACATTTTTAATTTATATATCTTATCTAATTTAAGGATTGTTAGGAGTTTGAAATAGGGAGCAGCACTCTCTCTAGGATGTACAAAGAAGATGGTGATATATAAAAAAGCATAATAAATTTGTTTGTTGTCTGTCTGTGGTTTGTTCAAGTTACAATAAGTTTGCCAAATTCCTGTGAGTCTGTGTCTTTACTTCCAAATGCCATTTTAACTAACAGCGCTTATGGTTGTACTCTTTTCCTGGACTTTTCCCCACAAACAGATGCTGCTTGAAGAAGCTGCATATCAACAGAACATTGTACTCCAGGCAAGTCAAGCTTTAAATCTCTGCGTTGCAAATGATATCACCTTTAGAGGCTCCACAGAGGAAATTGAAGCTGAAAGAGTTCTCTTACTTGCAAGTAAGTTCAGTTGCACCATAGACTAATGCCGACAACTGTATGTGTTTCTTTGAAGTCCTTGACAAGGTTTCGCATAGAACGACATAGATATCATGAACCTGATTACATTTTGCTTTTGCTGATTAGGTGAACACAGAACAGCTTGTCTAGATGAAGTCCAAAGACTAAAAAATGGATGCACTGACAGCATTCCAGAATTTGCTGGGGGAAGTGAAGCATCTGGGGTATCATCCTGTACTGCAAATCTCTCTTTGTCAGGTATGCTTCTTCTGTCTCTCCAGCTGACTGATTTAATGGCATCTACAACTGTATAAAAAAAACCAGTGAAATCGTTTGATATTCTACTAGTTAGGTTACCATAAAGGCTGCATGATCCTGATGAAAGACAATCACCCTTGGAAGAAACATGGTTGTCCCCATAAACATTTTGAAAAAAAAGTCAGTGATCATAATATATAGGAGAGTACTTTATAATACAATATTTTATTGTTAACATCAGGGTTAACAGTCCTTCCAGTAATTATTGAGGCTTCAGTCACTTATTAATTTTTGAGGTGGTTGAGCATTTTCCTGTTAAATCCTTGTTGATATTCTTGCTGTTTGTTCAAGTTTTTATTCTATTATACATGTATTCCATTCCCTTTTGAATGCTAACCTTAGGTATCAAGATCATATTAAGGCAAGACTTCATGGATGTGTTAAGAGTTGGTATCAGAAGTGGTAAGAAACCATTTTTTAATCTGTTATTTTTAGTTGAAATAAAAAATGTACCAGATGTTAACTGGTAAAATTTTGTTTCAGGTTAAAATTTTTTAATCCACAACTGTAGGTCGTGGAATGATTCTCAATTCTCTGTCCCGTGGGGCTAGGACAGGGGATTAACCAGAAATCAAACTATTTGATCTGTAACACAGAAAATAAAAAGGATAACATAGACTCCTATGGCACATGCATGGTGAACCTACAAGCAAATTAAGGCACAAGCTGTGAAAGAAAACTGGTTTTCTTTGGAACCCTATTGGGTACTGTGAGTCATTTTTTTGATAACTGAATGTTCTTCGCTTATTTTCAGATCTTGGTGTGTTTTACTTTCTCTGTATTATCCAACATGGCCCACATGAGTTCTACTGTACCAAAGTCCTTTCAACAAATGATGCCACAGATGGAAACTTCTTGTTGTTCCCTGATAAATTCACGTTGTAAGTCATCCTCAAGTACTGCTTACTTGTTAGATCAGTAGTGTATTTAAGCATCAAGATTATAAGCCTGTTAAACTAAGCAGTTTTGGTTGCTACTTGATTGTCTCTGAGCCAAGTTTTGTTGTGCTGTTGTCACAGTGGAACAAGTTACACAAACATTGTTTATCATAACCCCCCTTCAAATAGAACATGTGCAATTCATTCTACTGCTGCAACTAGTACATTTACTCCACGGGATGCCTAACACTTTTTTTTCTTTTAACGTGAAACTCACAAAAACGTGAACACCATACTGTCTGTTGAGGCAGCTGCTAAACAGTGCTGCTGACAATGTTGCAAGTTTGCTGATATTTCATTGTATTCTGGACAGTTAGCTTCAGGATACTGCTTTAGATGGGCTAAGTGAAGCTGAGTCTTGAAATAAGAAAAGTAATATCTTGCAAGACGCTTTCAAACATGCTGTCAAACAGCTGATGTATGTAAAAAAATATTTCAAGTTATGGCTGGCAGTATTCACTCTTTTCGGATCCTTAGTAAAGAAACGCTTTGGGTCATGTGTCCAAACTACAGGTATTCACCTCTGTTGTGGATCATTTGGATCAATAATCTGTTTGTGGATTAAAAATCCAGATTTGGATTTAAGGGTCATCCCCAGTGTAATATAATTTATTCGTTTTCTTTCTTTTATGGACTATTGTCAGGGTTAGGTTCATTGTTAAGGATGTTTTGCTTTATTTGTTATTAGTCAGCGGTGAATAATAAATTATATTACACCGGAGATGAGCTGGATTTTAGTAAAGAAATACACCCTAAACTTACAATGCACTTGACACCAATTTGGTGACCTGTCTGGCTGTCCGGGTATAATATGCCACTGAGATCTATAATACTTACAAGTGTTATTCTGTTGCATTTTTCCTTTTGAAGTATAAGTAAACAGTCCATTGACTCTTTTGTCATTTCTTTATTTCAACAGGAAGGACATCAAACCAGATTTTAATGTCACAATCAAGGTTTTCTGCATGGTGAGCTTCTTATGATGATTGTTCTTGTAGACTATAAAATTACAGCTGGTTAAGAGGGGTAAACCATGCTGTCTTGTGAGAAAGCAAGTTTTGTGGAATGCTAACTTCTTTACTCTCTGCTCACGTGCCCCCTCTGCAGGCTCAGTGTAGAAATTTGTTGTGTTAACTTTTGCTTTCTATGATTTGTAGAATGTAAAAAAGGCCATTGTCAGTGCTCCAGCCACCCCATCTAAGACCAAGCTCTTTCAGTCACCAAAAGTTGTGAAAGGAATGTTTACTGGGGTGAGGATTCACTGATACTTGATTGTGGCTTATTCTGAACATTTTGTGTGTTCAATGGATCAAGATTAATATGATAAAAATAATAATTGTACTTTTTTTTCTCTCTTATGTCTTCTCTACAGCGACGCACATCAGATACCCCTCCAGGTGGGTGGAAAATGTTTTCACTTGAGGCCTGCAGTTCAAATGCATTAGGACTCCATGCACAACTTATATAATGTTAACTTGTTGGCCTTACTTTTTGTTTCAATAGTATACCTGTAATAAGCTTAAATAACTTAATATGTATGTCGTCTTGATATCCATACTTGAAATTTAGACTCTGGTCTTCTTATAGCAACCCAGGTTTTGCCATCACCTCAGACAGTATTCAGAACCAGCAGCTTCTCTCTTGTGGGAGTAACACATGTAAATCTTCCTATCATCAAGTCCAAGAGATTCTCTCTTGATAAGGTATATAATTATGTTCTTGAAAATAATATTTAGAATAATTTACAAATAATTACATTTTGTCTACTTTGAATGCAAGAAGACAATTTGCAGTACACTCTTTGAGAAATGAGGAAAAGATCAGGCATCATCTCCTGTACTATTAATGTTTTTAATATTAATTAGAAAAATAACATGGCTAAAGCTTTGTCAATTTTATGGCATGTACCGCCATACATGATCCAGAGAGTCTATTAGACCCGGTCCAAAAGTTAAATTTCATGTGTGCCAAATTTAACTCTATTTTAGTCAACTAATTAAAACTAATTAAATAGGGCAGTTCATTCAGATGTTAGATATGATATGGTGCCAAATTTAACTCCATTTGTTTTAAATATTGCCAGTCTCTAAAACAATTTGTTATCCAATATGGATAATAGTTTCTATATAATTAATGCATTATATTAGGCACATGTGAAATGCCACATCAGAATCAAATGTCAAACCAGAGTTGAATCGCCAAATGTTTCAGTCGCAGATTCGGGAGACTTTACCTAGAATGTATAACAAAAATAAATGTCCTGGAGAAGAGCTTCCATTAACAACTTCATATTATCTTCACTTTATTTTCAACAATAGTATTGAAATAATTATTGCATGTTATTATTGACATGTCATCTTCAATTCAATTCAATTCTTTATTCACCCTATATAAGATATTTACATAAGTGTACATAGTAGGAAAATAAAGTAGCTACAAATAATAATTAACTAAAAGATATTAAGTTCATTTGTGTACGGTGTCCAAAGTAGCAAGAGCTTTCTTGTTCTTTAGGTGCCTGATAGTTGCCCCTTGAGTACCTACTTGGAAATGAAAGCTGAATGCATCCCGCTATGCAGCAGCCATGTCAAAGGATTCTTGGTAAGCATTATAATCCTGGTCACTGACACTTGGTCTCTAGAAAGGTTGTTTTTGAATTACAAAAGAGCATGCTGACTTGTTTAAGTTATGCAGCCAAGACAGCCTTTTGTTAGTAATGTTTTCTGTCTGGGAAGTTGTCAGTATTTTTTCATTAATTTTCAGACAATCCTGGAGGACATCGGTGGTTATGGTGCATGGCAGAGGCGGTGGTGTGTGTTGGAAGGTGCTGTCATGTCCTACTGGAGATACCCAGGAGATGAGTCTATCAAGGTACACAGTCATATACAGTGGCATCCACATGATTTTGATTCCCTGTAATATTACAAAGAAAGTTTTAACCACATGGCTTTTGACAGAAATCTTTGTAACTTATAATGATATGTGACCTCATCAGTTTTTGAAAAGGGGATTAAGGTCAAGAGCATTTTCTTAGGTTTTTATGTTCAATGTGTTTAAACAGTGTTTAGACATGTATTATTATTATTGTTGTTGTTGTTGTTGTTGTTGTTGTTCTTTTTGTTGCTCTAAGTTATTTTTATCATATTATTAGTAAAAAAGCAACCATGCAATCCCAAGAGCAATGCAACAATAGGCAAATAAGAACTGGTCAGTTTCTTTGCTGGTTTTTAGCTACAAGAAGCCAATTAAAACATCAAGTTATTGAATTTTAGTGTAGCATAACAATATATTTTCATTAATTTCGCTACCATTTGCTTCCTTCTCAAGCCACCCCTTGGGAGTATTGACTTATCAGAATGTATCAGTGAGGAAGTGACCAGAGTCGCAAGGGACCTGTGTGCACGACCAAACACCATGGAACTAAAATTAAAAAGGGCATGTGGCACAGAAGTTAAGTAAGTAATGAATTTCTCTCAGCCATGTGTTTGGATAATTGTGCTTAGCAGTAATAAATAATGTATGGTTAGAACTAGGATCTATTACTGCGTTTTTCAAAAACACACAAACTCTAAGTTCATAAGCTGCCTTCATGCATTTTTTGCTGTAGTCAATCATAATAATAATAATAATAATATTATTATTATTATTATTATTATTATTATTATTATTATTATTATTATTAATTATAGTCACAAACAACAAACCTTGAAACACAGGAACCACAAAACGGATCGAAATTCACCAATCACAAACCATGACTTTGACCCCCCTTTGAAGTTAAATTCTTTTTTAAGAGGTCTGCTAAGATGGTTGACGGCAGTGAAAAACATCAGAATTCTTGTGTTTTTGAAAAGAGCAGTAACAAAGTGGTTAAAATTACAGTGGAGGTTCATTGTATAGTAGGCTCGATTACCACCTGTTTTGTACCCCCACCTTCCTTCATACTCATCATGGCTGGATCACAGGTCTTAAAACAAGACTACCTTAAATGACAGGTAAATTTAGCCTACCTGTACAAGTGTCTAGGCATTTTTATGTACGAAAAATTTTCCTCTTAACTATTGGTAATGCTTACTATGTCAGGTACCTTCTGGCTGCCGATACAAAGACAGACCGTGCAACATGGATTGACAGTCTTAATGAAGCTCTCAGAGATGGACGTGCATGGACAATGACAGAGGACAGGCCTCTCTACCCTGATTTGAGCAGACTGCATAACCAAGATGTGTATATGTGTTCCAAGGATACTGAATAGCTGGCTCATTGAATAGCTACTTTCCTTCTCACAGCAGTATCTGAGTGAAAGTCTCCAAATTGCATTGTGTCCTAAATAAAACAGATTGAAACTTTAAGAAGTTCTTAATTCAGCTGGTATTAAACTGAAAGGTCAAAAGATAATACACATTTTAAATTAAATAGAATGTAAATTTAATGAACAATGATCCTCACCTATAGAAAGGCAAAAAGGGTGTGCTTAAAGTTTAGCTAAATTGCTTCACTAACAGTAAGCATCGCTGTTTTATGGGGCTGTCGTTAAAGGCCAGGAATTTCCCGCTGCTATTTTCACAGGAAACAAAAGGAAAATATGGCCAAAAGAACACCTAGATTTTCAATCCCCCAACAAATACCAATTGTATATACCCAGCATCAAAAAATCTTAGTGCTAGCCCTGCTGCACTGATACAAATAAAATTAAGGATATCATTACCTGCAGAGCTCTGACTTGATACGTAAATCAAAAACAAGATCAAAGGTTAAGTCAATGACTTGTACTACATAACAACCCATAACAGACATGTCTGCTATGTCATTTCAACTCTAATCATAGCTTACAATAAGTACGATGGAGTACAATTTTACACAATAATGCACAGTATAATCCAAGCAGACAATTTTAACAATAGTCTGTGTAAAATCCATGGGAAATAGACTTTGCCATGAATTTCCAGGGTGAAAAGCTCGGAAGAATAACTTAAGATAATTTCTGATAGAAAACAGGATCATTTTAAAGAAGCAAAGACAAAGGAGAGTTGGCATTGAGTCAGCTAATGGAGAAAAGAAGAGATAATTAAGTTACTGTAAGGCAATTAACTTAAGTGTAAAATTAAGACAAACCCAGGTTTGGCTAGAAAGAATGAGTGTAATCCATTGGGTGAAAGCCAACAATTTTGTGCAGCCTTTTGTGTGAAATACAGCTTGCTGTACAACAGAATTTCAAGCACTTTTGTTTTTTTTGTGGGGGATGGTGGGGAGTTGGATCCAACCCAGGTTTTGTTGATGCCTTCCATTGTGTTGTACTAACTTTGTCCTAGTTTTAACAAAATTTAAAAGTGCTTGCCTTGGTGACAATTAAAGCTGAAGATTTACTGAGTATAGTTAACAAGCAATTTTTATAAATAAATGACGTTATTGGTTGTCTTAATAAAGTTAGTGCTTGGTGCAAAGTGCTTTCATATTGATTGTACGTTTTGAATGTTTTGGAATAGCTGGGTACATTAATTAAGACTTCCTCTGAGACTTTCCCTTGATGTCAGAGCAATGAGCTACATTGAAGATTGTCTAAAGTGGCCCACACAAAACAGTAACATTTCCGAAGACTTCTCAAAACTATGCAAATTAAAACTCAAAAATATATTATTTTATTTATGGCAAATTGTTCATCTGTCCAGGTTCAATCTTAAGACTAACAAAGAGTTACCCTCAAGAGAGGTGAATAATTTGCCAAAAAGTAATCAAAATAACTTAATGCCTTATAATCTTGAAAAGTATTAAATAATCTTACAAATCTTAAGGGGGCTCTAGCTTACTGAACCAATCACAAATTTAATACAAAATGTTATGTCACATTAGAATATGGCACAATTGAGGTTCAAAGATTTTTTTCTTTCCTTGCATGGTTGCCTTATTAATCTGTTACAATGCTCAAAGTAGTCTAGCTTCTGGTTGCAGTTTCCATTGAATTCTTTAAAATTCCCAAGCACTTTTGCACAGCAAATGAACAATACACAAAGAAGTTTTAATTATTTCTGGTCACATAAAAAATATATTCCATGACCTAAACTAGAAATGACTTGGGTTTCATGTGTTTCACAGTAGAACAACATATTGAACTAAATCTAACCAATCACAGAACTTTTTTTTCTCAAACATTCTGTCATACCTCTCCACAACAGCCATGTTGATGAGAGAGATAAATGGCCATCAAAGAGGCATTCATCAACCCGTTAAGTTCAAATGGTGACCAACATCAATTTTCTCCCCAAAATATCCATACGTTATCAAAAGAAAAGGTTATGAGAAATTATTAATAAAATGATCACCAAAGTGGAAATGCCGTGATCTTTTTTCAAATTCTCTCAACTAATTCTTAATGGCAATGTATAGAGATCAGTATGGAGAATTTGTAAGTGGATATCGGGGCTTAAAGGGTTAACAGGAGGTAGGGGTGTAATGGCACACAATGTTCAGTGAGGGGCAGGGGGGGAACAATCAAACTGTTTAAACAAAAAAAGCCTATTATGAGCAAGTAACACAAGATCAATGAAACAGTAAGGTACAAAGTCAGTTTATTCACAGTTAACTTTTAAAAATTGCTGCTGTGAAGTGGTCAGTTTGGGTGCCTCCATTGGCCACTGAGGACAAGTCACCACTATTAAAAAGAAGAGTGAATATATAGACTGTTCAATGTGGTGTAGAGATGAGGCCATTCGTAAAGGTAACATTGCATTTTTACAGTCAGTTTTAAAAGCTTCCTGGGCTTTTGTAAACTGAATATATTATTATCACATAATTTAGTATTTTCCTTGCAATAACAGTAATTAATTAAAGTTGTATTCTGGCATTAACCATGAAATCTGATATTAGACCAGTAATTCTTAGAGAAGTATTTAAAATTTTAAACACATGCTTTTTACCAGAATATTGGTCAAGGTATTTTCAAGAAAAATAATTATTTGCACCAGTAAGTAGGAAACAGAATGTATATATTAATCCTGATCTGTTTCTGTAAACAATAAATAATGTTCCTTAGCCTTTCAGTTAAAAGTTTACTTTTTAAATCGTATTCTTTTATGCTTGTATCTATTACCCTTAATTTATTCACAGCTGTGTTTAGACAAACTGAATAATTTAAACAGCACAACGTTAAGTACCAATTAATAATATTTTTTAGGTGAGTGAGCTACCTGTTTCAGCAAGACATTTTAAACTACTCTATTTGAAACAAAATTATAATAGTATTTTTCTTCCTTAGTATTTTTTACGTTTTTGGAGGCAGTATACACACACCCTGCATCTAAGCATCTGAAAAATAAATGGTTTCCTTGACAACTACAATGTCCATACTGGAGAACTTTAATCATTGTATTCCCCACACTTCCTGTCATCCTGCCACCTCGTAAATGTAACAGCGGCACCCAAAGTACTGTTAATAGTTTCTCTTTCCCAAATTTTCTTTTTGTGAGGAAGTCTGACCCCATGCAACTGCTCCCTTCAACTCCCTTGCATTTCAACTCATGTCGGCTATACGCGTCCTCATGGATGGTTTATAAAAATTTACTTCCAATTCCATGGGATACTTATGTGTCCATCCTCATTAACATGATAATACTTGGACACAGTAAGATTAGCTCCACTAAGATCAGGATTATCTTGCCTGCTTAGCCGCTCACAGCAGTCACTCATTTGAAGTGGAGATACTGAAGGATCTTTTAACAGACAAACCAGCTGTAATTTCTCTTGGCACTCTTTTATTGCTTTATCTTGTATCACAAGATTCCTGAGATAAATGGAGGAATATGCACAGAGTTAGGTTACAAAAACCACATACAGTTAACAACTAAAACAAGCCAAAAAGTGGTTAATCAAAACATCTATGAATAACCAAAATAATGTGGAACAGTATGCAGAGTCCCTGTTAGAGTAAAATTGCACCAGATGACATGGCCTTGAAACAGCAACATACATGTACATGGGTTACAGTGCGATTGGGAAAACCTTGAATACTTGAAATATTTAAGAATAGGAATGTTTATTGTGTTAGGACCAATCACAGCAAAGATGAGAACACACGAACTTGCCACAAAACCACAAACTAATTAACGTTCTTGCTTACAGTTTAGTTTTCTCATGGGAGATTGGCTTTTTTTCTTGTTCCACAATAACATTCAAGAGACATTTCTGGTGTTCACGGTTTGACTGTAAAATACCCAGAAGGACAAGGCCCACTCTTCAAAATGTGAAACAACCACACTTGAAATTCAGACTAGGGACATACATACCCCCCACCCCCAAGAGGGCTTCTATGCTGACAGCGCAAAAATTGTACCAATGTCCTTGACTGTTTGAACGTTTGCCACATGTTTGCAGGTACAAAAGAAGACCTCAAACCATTCATCACACAACAATATTGATAAAAATAATTCAGGAGACTGACAGCTGGCATTTACTCTTAGACAATTTGACATCAAACCTGCCAGTTCCCAGCTAGAACATCATGATAATTATAAATGATTTTTGTTGTACTTGTTTACAAAGAATCAAAGGATGAAAGGAGCAAAGAAAGCAGTGACAATTCATCTCATTACTTAATTAACATTAGCCTGCAGCACAAACAGAACTAATTCTCTGCCAAGTGTGTTTGCAAATAAAACAGCGCAGAAGTCCTTGCTCAAGGCCCCCACCTGAGTACCAGGATTTGAGTATGCAACATGATTGGCATGTTAAAAAAGCCACTGTTGAAGGAAATTCAGAATGTACGTTTTCCAGTAATTCACTGAGTTCGTTGGGGGAGCCGGCAGAACAAGGATATCCGCACTGCTTTCCAGACGTTACTAACAGGGGTTAGATTACATGTGCAATGCAGGCTATGCATGTATTGTTTCCAAGTTAAATTAGCAGATTTCATTTTTGTGCAAGTGCAACATTTTTAAATAAGAAATGGGATACAGCGCAGCCACAGTAAAATACCATGAACTGAGTAAAACTGTTTCCAAGAGATCTACAACTGTTCAGCAGCAAATGGCATGGACAAAGACATAAATTATATGCTTGTGTCATGATAATTAATGAATGCAATAAATATTTCAAACCCAGCTGTGGGGACTTATTAGACTCAAACAGGAGCCCATCAAATGGAGCCTCCATCTCCATTAATTTCTTGAGTCAACCCTTTCCCGAGTAGATTTATAAATAGAACGGCTTGTTTCCGAAAAGTGTCATAACTGAGTATGTCACCGTGAAAAAAAATGAAGTTGGATTCGAACTCAGAAAGAGACCGTTTTCCTTTTCTACGTCCATTTTTACAATTTTACAGCGCTGATCTGGGATGAAATTTAATGAATTACCCGACTGAGACTGAGCATGAAGCGATGGGACAAAATTAAATAGTGTGTTTGTTTTTTTTTTTTTGCCGTCATACAACATTTAAGCATTTGAAAATTCCAGATTTTTTGGACAACTTGAAACTTTTCGATGATCAGCGCCGAAAAAGTGCCAGGATCATTTATTTTTGTTAGTGGATTTCGCCAGTTAATATTGCAAAATGTTTAGCAACCAAGGAGGAATGCTTCAGAAAAATTGCAGTGTCCTTTACAACTGACTTGTATCACCATGAGAGTTGCCTGATAAAACTGGCACTTGAAAAGTTGAACAGAAGACAACAGTTGTCGACCGTGAAGCTAACTCAAAATAATTTGCTAACGGTGGAATGAATCGGCGGCTCCAGTCCAAAGGCCCTCTTATCTCAAAAAACAAAATGGAACGCCCAAAGAATTATGACTGACCAACAGGAGAATTCTCAGCAATTAATGTAGAAGTTTAGGCCAGCATCTGTAGATCACTTTTTGCGAGAAAACAATGGCTGGGGTTACAAAACATAGCAGGGAATCATCACACTAACTGACGGACAAAACAACCACAGTATTTATTCAGACAAACGATTTCGGACAAAAACTTGAAAAACTAGAAATTTGATTAATATTGAGTCATTTCGAAATAAGAAACTTAAGCTCAAAAAAATTGGCTAAAGAAAACGAATCCTATCAGAACTACAGACTGCAGGTAGTAGTTAAAATGTAACAGACCAGCTTAATGTGAGACAAGCAACCAAAATTAAGATTAACATAGTCAGAGTTTAAAACTCTCCACAGTATAATCTACCCGCTAGAAAGAAAAGAAAGAAAATCTCTGAGGGATAAAAACGCTAAAGTCACGTTTCACTAGCTTATGATTTTGTTTGGCCTGTCAGCACCGGATTTCCTGCTGTTTCATGAAGTACAATAGCAGTGTCATTTAGTCGTTGTGATTGGCTCTTCCCACCGTCGGCGCGCGAAGTCTCCCCTGGGAACCGTTCTAATTATAAATCTACTCGGGAAAGGGTTGACTCCAAGGGCTTGTATGGGAGATGGAGGCTCCATTTGATAGGCTCCTGACTCAAATCAAAAGGTTAATTCCCTGTCCTATGTTAGACAATAATCTATTGTGAATGTGTGTCAATAAAATTGACATGCAAAGTTGATCAACTAACTTTTCTTACCTTTCATTTTCCTCTTGTAGTTCCAAAGATTTTTGTTTATTTTTCACAAGAAAATCCACAATCAACTCAGAAGGAATTGAAGGTGGTATTCTGAATTCTCCACCAAGTGACAGACTTAGAGAGTCTGCAGGACTGAAACACAAAAGATATTGTCTCAGTTATTTTGACTGCAAACAGTCCTAGTTATCAATTAAGTAACTTAAGACAGAATCCATTAGGAAATTGAGTAATAAAATTTTAATTTTCAGTGGACAAAAACCTTGTACCGCAATATTTGAAGCCGTATCACATTTTTTTTATACTTTTCAAGGTCTATAGATGTAAAATTTTAGATATCTGTAATAACAGATAACTAAAGACAATTTCTTGCAGGAGCCCAAGAAAATAAATTTCAAATTTCACAGCAATTGAGAAAACACAGGTAAAATCCTCATGCAAAAGATTTCATTTTGTGAAATTAATAATAACCTTTATTTATTACCTTTGGCGATAAGAATTACGGCAATATAACAATAAAAATTCAAAATTTAAAAAATTTTAGTCTTTAGAAGCAATTTTGAAGTTACATTTATAGCCCTTGAAAAGTGTGAAAAAGAATGCAATATACGTGAAATTTTTTCGTTATTCTGGTACAAGGTTTTTGTCCATTAAAAATTAAGCTTACCCAATTTACTAAAGGCTTTCATTTTAATATCATTTAATAATCTGTGAAGTTAAACAATGACCATTAATTTAACGCAATGAAGGCCACATACACAAATCCTTCAAAGATTTGGTGTATATTTAGTTCCTCAAAGAAGGCATTGTAGAAGTCCATTTTAGTTCCTCTAAGTGTTGTAGTAAAACACCATCTTTCCATGATGTGATATAATTTATAATGTACAAGTTACACCTGCCACCATGTTACAAAATGACTTAAATGAATACTATGAATACCTCAGTATTCTTATTGCAATGTCTTTGAATTCCCTTGGCTGAAAACAAGTTGACATATCTACAGATCCAAGGAGTTCTCGCCGCATTGAAGACACTATCCTGTATAGGTAACTTAAATACTCAGTAACTGATACAGAGGGTGAGTCCTGATCAAACACAATCTTCATATCACCAAGCAAAGAGGACAGTCTTCTCTGCCATGTTGGTACTTGACTGACTAGAACATCGTAGTCTTCTAAGGAGGACAAGAGCTGTAAAATAGATTGAAAGGAGACTGTAAAGTCAGAATTCAAACACTTCACCTGATTCCAGTTGTCAACAAGGTAAGAGTTCAGTCAAAGCTTTGTAAGACAGATACATGTGGCTAAATGTAATTTAAACTACAATTAAATCTTAAGAGAGACGTGATGGGCTACTACAGTGCCGAGGGAGAATTCAGGGAGATTACCCCATTTATCTCCCTGAAACACATTCTTTCACAGAGAAGATGATTAGCAAGCAAAGTTAACCTCGAAGGAATGCTGCAGTTTTCCCACCTATGCTGGGGGTGGCCCAATGCCTCTAGCAGGGGCACCTCGTGACTTGTATACACAGTTGCTTGCAGTTCTTCGCAAAGAGTTGACACAATAGGTTTGTTTCTTGCTCGCCGCACTGTTTTCTCCCAAACCTCCCTCCCTCTTTAGTTCAGGGCCAGGTAAGTATTCCACTGAACTGTTCAGTGTGACGGTGCCTGGTGAGGGCTGCTTGCAGGATTGCCATGGATACCTCCTTCCTCTTATTAGAGCATTGACAAGTTTAACAGGTTTTTATCCATCCTTAAGAGCCTATGAAGATTTACGAGCCCTATCATTATGGGTAGGGGTACAGCACCCTTGGTGAAATCTGTCCCCTTCCAGGAGCCATTACCAACCATGTTACTGGGGCTGAGAAACTCTTTTCGTGGGAGAAGTGTTAGTGGGACTCTAAACCCCTAACTGCAGTTCTAGACCAGGCTGCACTGGCATTGCATCCCTCTGGTTCAATTTTTAATTTCATCAGTACCAGTTTTCAATGTTATGGTAATTTACTGGACCAAACAATCTCTGATTACTTAGGTACTCCCCTTCCCAAAATAAAGTGAGATTGAAAAGCAAGACACCCATAATGATAAAATTAAAGCTTATTCATGAATAAGAATGTGTCACTAAACAGACCAGTAATACATACTGAAAGCCAAAACTGTGGAGTATCCCGAATGTTCAACATAACACGTCCATGAGGATCAATCCCTGTCCAGTCCGTAAACACAACAGTGCGTCCATTTAGCCTCTGAAGCTCTGACTGCTTTGTATAGCAAAGCCTCAAGAAATTCTTCAAGCATCCATGATGTGAAGAATAACTCCATCCACTAGCCGACTCCAATTGTTTTAATCCTAGTTCTTTACAGATTGTTTCAGATAAGAGAGCATTTTCCTTTAGAAGAGGCTTGCTACTTTCTTGTTTTTCTTTGGCATTTTTTATATTCTGGACTAGGAAGTCCTTTAGTGTGCTTCTCGAGTTTCTCTGCAATTGTGCAAGATCCACAGGGCTTTGTCTGTCACTAAACTGTTGATAAACATGAAGCCAGTGGTTTGGTGCATCATAAGGTAGTGCAACAGACAGTTTGGAGTCTCTGTTGTTTTGGTGAAGGGTCACCAGATCCTCCAACATTCCACAGGTCTTTAAAATATGGCTGATTGTAAAAGAAACATCACGAGAGAACAATGAAACTCTAACTGTCTTGAAAGTCTCTGATCCTGTTAACAAGATAGAAAAAAAAGAATTGAATAACCACACAGAAACAAATAATACATTGGCAGTCATTTCACAAGTGAATTTTCCTAATTACTTATGGATTTGTATCTTAATAGGCTGGAGCTTCTAAATTTTGCTTATTTGACTAATTTGCAGCATGTATAATATTCAACACTGACTCATGACCACATGAAATTGGATCTATGCATGATAAGTACCCCAAATATGCTGGATTGTGGGTAGGAAATACATTAAAATGCCATTCATCAAAATCTGGATGGGAGACGTTTGAAGTCTGAATCAGAGTTTCACTTATAGTCATCTTATCAAATTGGTTTGACTCAAATCAATATGAAAGGGGTAGGCGTAAGGGGTTTCTTGCATTTTGTTTGCGTTCATGAACAAAATCAAAATTTCATGTTACGACAGCAAGGGTAATTCAGGACCTTAATCCAGGCAGCCATTAAGTATTAATTCAACTGTCAATTTTTCCATACGTTAAAAAAATTTCATTCATTCAGCTAATAACTGGGTCCTACATGTACTTTCCCAACTGGGGAAATAAAAATTTCAGATTTCACTGTTTTGGCATAAACTGTGCATAATGCCTTGTATGCATCAATCTGTTATTAACAAAATAACAATAGAATGTCTCTCAAGGACGTATTCTGGATATTTTCTGGTGATGCACATTGTCTCTATTGACAGAGTGGTTAATATTACCTTCCTCTAGAGCAGTGGCAGTGTCATTTTTCAAGTAGAACATTAAATGAGTTGGATTTACTGGCTTTTTCTTCTGCAAGTCCTCAAGGTATGAGTTCAACTTCTTCAGAGAATCTTCATTTATTGACTACAAGTAAAGAGTTAAAAATATTAATGATGGATTTTCATCTGAACTTTACTAAGTACTCAAGTACCTCCTAAAGGGGGTTAGCCTGTAAAAACAGCCAACTAAACATTTCAGGACACCACCATTGGTTTCCCCACAAAATGACGAAGACTGAGAAACGAGAGAAGAAATTCCATACTGATGAGATCACACATCACTAACCAGATCTGGGCTGCTTTGGACTGATTTTAAAAGTTTACTTTAACCAATCAGAAACACTACTAGATCTGGATAATGACATCTAATCAGTATGGAATTTCTGCACTGGTTTCTCAGACATCATTGCACGGGGAAACCAGTAGTGGCACCACAAAGTGTCGTCGACTGTTTTCTCAGGCTAGAGGGGGGTTAAATTAAGAACACAGCTCACCAAATTGGAGACTTTCACTGCAATTTCTGGCTGCAAATTTTTTTTGTCAAAATTGTCACTGCTCAGAGCACGGCTAATCACTACATGTACATATTATTTTTGATAGAGCTGGTCTTCCGCTGAAGGATGACATAATACCACATCTTACAACTTCAATATTTCAGGCCAAAAGGTTTTCCTCACCCGTTGTATTGGATACTGGCCAAACAGATCAGGGTGGACAGCAAAGTAGAAAGGCTTGAGAGCTGCCTTAGTCTGGGCACTTGACAGATGCCGGGACAAAATACGCCAAGATGACTGCTTCAAACTACAATCAAATTCAAAGTTAACAATAATGAACTCTAAAAAATTTCAAAATGACAAATGGGCAGCAAAGGAAGATTACCATGGGTACACGCTTGGGATTTTACTGTCTTGCAACCATCCCAGATTTTACTAATTACCAAAGCAAAAATAAGTTGTAAAAATCTTCGATCATCTGGGATAGATGAATATTTCCCATTGAGTCCCAGATTTCTGGGACAATTGCCCAAATGGAACCAAAACCATTTTTATTCCTGAGGGCAAATTACACCTTTCACTGTCCCCCTCACCTTTTGCCCTTGACTCTCTCCTCACCACTACTTCTTTGTTCCCCCTCCCCTGTAGTTTCTCCCTTTTGCTAGGCACTTTCTTGGCTTCATTTCAGTAGGCAAAAGTTTTCATGAAGTCCCAATGATCACAAAATTATTTTGAAGGAAATACAGGTAGGACTAGTGGAATATGATTTTTATTGGAATTTTCTGCTCAAAGTTACAGAATTATTTTTCGTGCCTGTTAGCCTGTGTAAGAGGTGTTTTTTTCTATGTGTTGAGTCATTTGTTGTTCATAATGAGATACAGCCATCCAAAAGATGAACTGTCAATTACTGACACACAGTAAAACAAAGGACAGAGATCAACCACGAAATACCAAATTACACACAACTGTTGGTCTTGGTTGTTTGTACAATAATTTTTTCAATTTTCAGGAATTTTTCTCATTCAGAAGTAGTAACAAGCTTGCCTCATGGGGTTGATAAGCAGGCTACTTCTCAAGTGTTTGCCTGAATCACATTTATTCACTTAATTGGGAATGTTTTGAAAGATCTTTTTACCCTAGCACAAGCTAGGTATCAAGTTGTCAACAGCTATTTTGTGAAAGGTTGTCAGAAAAAATGTGCATGCACCAATCCCGAAAGGTAATATGGGATATGATCAATACACTGTTCCTGACACTACAGCTGCCGAACCTACTTTTGTTGCTTTCCTTTCCTTTAGCACCGTATTGCAAAAACATGGGAAAAAACTGGGGCCTAGTCATGAAAGCGAGGCGTTGGATCATTTTACACATATCTATGTATGTCTGTATTTACAACTTCCTTTGGATGATATCAATTCCGTCGCTTTGGGTGAATTGTTAGAGGTACGTTGGCAGAGCTTAGCAAATTCAGTGCAAATCTAAAATCTTTTGATTTCTTTGCATTGCGAAATAAAATAATTTTATCAAAACTAGAAGCTCTAGTGTGTGAATCTTACGACTTGCTATTTGCCTGGTCTCCTTTACGGCATTATCTCAGAGAGCTCTTTGTAAAAAGTGGTATAAAACTCACATTTTACTAGGTTAAACTTTTAAGGCAATGTTTGTGTCAGGACTGAACACGGCAAGCTTCTGTTTGAATCATTAAATGCGAGTCTGGATCCGTTTAAAGAAGACCATCATTTTACTTATTTATGTATTCTTCACTTTTAAAACATTATGGAACATGAAGTTAAAACTCATAACAGCCAAAGATAAGAAATAGGAAAATTACTCGCTGAAATGAAATGTGGCGGCTTACCTGCATTGTTTATATTTCTGGCGAATTTTCATGCAATTCTTTCAAATTTCTTTTTGAAGCTTCGGTGAAACCTACAAAACACTTGAAAAACCACCTTTTGATTGCAAACAGCAAACAATACCTTTCAGGATTATTGTATTTGAAAAGAAGTGCATTTTTTAGGACAACCTTTCTCAAAATGGCTGCATAACCATTAATATTGATGACATCACTAGTGGTACAGAGGACAGTCAGTCACACATGCAGTTAAAGTGTGAATGTGTTAAGAAAGTTTCTATGGAGTTAGTAAGCAATACAAACTTTTCATTGTTAGTACATTCCATCTAACATCTGGTCATCAAAGCAACTCACTAATTTGTTATTTGTTTACAAAGAACACCTAAAAATCAGCCTGGAGCAATGCCTGGAGCATATTAAAACTACACCGAATGCAAGGCAATATTATAGTGCATAAGTTTTTCAGCTTTGGAAAAATAGCAGGTTACTGAACCTGTAAATATTACTGATGGTAACTTTCTGTACAGGGTCTTGGAAATTTTAAATAGTCAATTTTCAGCGGCTTTGAAATGTTGATTTAAAGGTTTCCTCTTCATCTCAGAGTCTAAATTTTTCCAGAGGAGTTTCATTCAGGACCCCCCTAGAGTTTCCATTCCCATCTCACAAACAATTTTTTCAGTTCACCCAGCTTCGTAAAGTTTCCATAATAAATTTTACCATTTGTGATCAACAGTAATCTTGATTTTATGAAAACACGTGCGACCAGCTGCTTCGCCTTATAGTTAATCAACGCTGGATACCTATTCAAGTAAATATGGTCTCCCAGTTAATGCAACTATCTGATTGGGTGACAATACTACAAACGGAAGACAAAATTAACTGGAACATTTATTTTCCCCAAAAAACACTGCAAACAAATGTATCAACAAAGAGGCATCTACAGATTTCCGTTGCATACAACCAAAAACAGCTATCCACAAAATTATTTTTAGATGTACTTAACCACGTTTATTTTGGTAACTTCTATAAATTTTTAACTAATGTTTACTCTGTATGGTCCAAATTGGAAGAAAATACCATTTTCCCCTTATTCCACTAAATGACTTGTTGTCGCATTCGATTTTCCAGAATCATTTCACATTAAAACTTCAAGAGGAATTTCCCCACTCAAAACTCCATCAAAACAAAACAGCAAAAATTATTGAGTACGTTTGCCCGGCCGTTTGCCCTTCATTCAAGTACTTTTTACGACCGTGACTAAAGTCATGAAACAACGACAAACTATTTTTAGCAGGATACAATCGATCCTCACCAAACACGGAACTCTTTCACTTTTCTAAAAACAAGAAAGCAAGGTCGCCAAACAGCGTCTAACGACCTTTTAACATTAGCAGTGGAATAAGAAAAAGGAGAAAAAATCAAATATGTAGCTTACAAGCAGGGTAATGTCAATCATCACCTGTTTCAAGATCGTTTCACGTTTCTAATCTGTTAGGGGTACGAATACCTTCCTTTGAGAAATTTTATCGTCTAAAATGGCAGTAAGCAAAACTTTGTTGTGGTTGAAAGTTCTGTTTTCACCGGAAGAGTGGAATCACCGGAACACTAAACGCGCCGAGTTTAATAGTTCAGCGTCAAAGCACCGCGGACGGATCGAAAAGCATCCCAAGCGCGAAAACTAAACTTGTAAAAATAACAACATTTGAGGTACAAACCTCAGGCGACGTATTCCTGACAGCATTTCGTTGCTAACATACACAGCTTTCTTCAGTGTAAAACTCAACGTTCGGCCACCAGTAACCTCAGTGTTTGCCCACGACGATGCAAATGATTTTTATCCACAATCTACAACACGACACGACCTAATCACGTTGAGGATTGGACCAATCACGTGAACGAAAATCCAGTTTTTTTCCGCGCAAAACGGGATACCACGCGCGAGGAACGAGAGCTTGATCGGATTTCGCAGAGCAAAGTCAGAAAACCAAAAAACGTAATCATACTCTTTTGTGATGACAGCTAAGTCATTATTCTTGTGCTTCTTCTGGGATTCTTCATACTGTGCAGAACTGCAAGCACCTCCACAATACAGACGTGTAAGTCAAACGAGAGCGGAAATGAGAAGTTCGACACGCGTGAAAATGGGCGCCATGCTTTAGCTCTTCCGCGCGCGGCAATACTCCACAGTTTGCGCGTGAGTGTCCCCATATTTTTTTTCAGTCCATCAAAAAACAACAACTAACGCAACATATACCCGAAGGAAGCAAGAAATAAAGATCCACCCATACACTATATTTTGAAGGCGTAAAATAGCCATAGCACTGTATTGCTTTATGAATGTGAAACACCGCACGTCCGAAAGCGCTTAACTTATTCAAACGGTTCAAATTTCCACCGTAGTTTATGGTCCCAAAAAAATTTGAATTTATATAGTTCAAACAACTTATTGGATGTAAGGAAGCAGCCTCTTTTTTTTTTTTTTTTTGCTCCCATATTTCGATCTTTCAACGCTTTCTCTCTCTCCTTTTTTTCCCTTTGCCCGCCTTCTTTTTTAGTGTAGCCATGAGTTTTGTCAGCCACTTTATCATCTTTCTTTCGCATGGAATTTTGACTGGCTAACTTTCCAGGAAAGAGAAAATTTAATTTTCAAAGAGTAGAAGATTAATAGCAAAATGGCGGTGGATCATGTTTTCTCCAAAGTGCTACTTGGTTCAGTGAGTGTCACTCTGTCAGGATGAAAGGTGTGAATCCTGCAGTAAACGGATGATTAAGTGGATAGCTTTACAGCCGTAAATGAATACTAAGAGGGTCCAAAAAGAAAAATACACATCCGGCATTCAATATGGAACGAAAACCTCCAAACGGTCGTCAAAGGGTTAACATTGTGGCTTTTGCTTGCTTGTCAGGAATATGCGGTTCCTGTGCTTGTTTATGATTTTGCCAGATCCCATAAGTAAACTGCATATTCCGGTTCACTTAGGTTAAACCAAGAGCCATTACGGCCCTTGGTTAAACTCTCACAATTCCACCTCATCATTTACAAAAGTTTTCATCAAATGATAATTGTCATTTTAAGTTTTTGGTCTTTTTTCCGCCGGGTTCTGTGAAGGTTATATTTTATTTAGCGTTCGCGTGAGCAAGCACAGCATGGGGAGCGTGTACCTCGCTAACAAACAATATATATACATAGCAAAAGAGGCGCTGAAATTTATTTATAAAGGCAATTAACTTTGTTTTGACGTGTATCGATAATGACATGTCTCACAAAGACGATGTCAAATTTGGCTTTTGAGTGCATGAAAAGTTGTTCCGAAGATAATTGGGCCAGTCTGACACTATTACAAGGCTATGGCCTGGGCCAGGGCTCCTCTGACAAGATCTCGTGATGTGCCTTCCATCTGCTCACAAAAAGATCATCTACTTTATAACGATGTTTTTTTTTTTTTTTTCAAAAATTAGGAATTACCTGTTCTTTATAACACCGAGATAATTGACAGCTTACCAAGCTAGTATCAATGAACGACAACAAAATAAAATATTTAAAGGCTTTTTTTAGCACCTAACGCCATCCTTCTGGCAAGAGCTCGCTTCGCAAGACAAGTAAAACACGATGAATAATAATTAAACCTGGATATATTGGAAAGTCCGACTGCTTATTAATGCTTTTCTTTATGCGATAAAATATGACGATAACAGGAAAATCTGGAATGACAAAATAATTCTTCATGGTCTTCAGAAAATGGTTAACGGACACGAGACAAAAAAATCGCGACTGGCGAGCTCACAGTCGACTCACAGCGTCCAAAATGGCAATCTTCGTGGCTCCAAAAACAGTCCTAGAAAACAAATATGCTATACTAACTACGTTTAACAGCGCAGTACTTGGTCTGTTAATAATTCTTGGATTACTGTGAAAAAAATTCCTTTGAAAGGTTACATCTTTAGCCGGGCCCGGCTCAAACGAAACGTCATCCCCAGATCACGTTGAATGTTCGCACTTTTGCAGGTAGAAATGGTCGAGAGTTTACTCATTGTCGCTCAGTTCATTTGTAATACAGACAAGAAATGGCTGAAATATTTGAAAAGTTCAACAGTAAATCAGTCTCCGGCGACCGTTTAAACTGATCTGTGTTGAACATGTTGCATAAAGTCATTTATTTTCACAAAAAATAGTAGCCTGCGAAAAACATCCGTTTCTCCGCGCTCTTCGACGCTGGGACGTTTTGCGCGAAACGTACCCAGCGGCGAAGAGCGTGGAGAAACGGATGTTTTTATTAGGGGCCTTCCGGCCAAAAATTACCAAACAGCTCGAGCCGCATCAACTATCATGTAAAGCCTGAAGTATATGTTGTCAGAATTTCTCAGGGGCACCCAACGAGAATATAGTTCAAAATCACTTATTAAAACATGGCATTGTTGAACGTATTTTAGTATTTAAAGGGTAGATATAGGCATATTTTTATCCCCTAAAAATTTTTTATCTGTTCCGATTTCCTAGCTGAAAGTCTAGTGATCCGAAAACTATAGGGATCAAAACTTACCTTTTCGAAAATTTCAGCCAGAAGAAAGGCTCCCGAAAATTCTAGGTGACCTTTTTACGGTGAAAATCCGTTAAAAATGGGCAATTATACCATTTTTTAGATGTTCGAAAATCCTAGGAGAGGCAGGCAAGCAAGAAATTTTACAACAAATGTTCCTAAAATTCTAGATCTCAAATCGTCTTCCGAACAGATATTTTCCGAAAATTGACGTTGGGTGCCCCTGATTTCTCGTCATTTCACGACCCTTCCTTTCCTGTCGTGTTTTGTAGTAACTAGCAAGAGCCTCGGTTGAAGCTTCATTGGGCAAAGCGAGGAAAATAGACGGCAGAATAGACATACACAACAACAACACAACTGCTCAATTTTGCTTGCTTGCTTATTGCTTGCTCAATTTTACATAGCAATATTTCATTTCAAACACCACAACGTCATACAAGGGGAATCGGTTTATCAACAACGAGTTTGTTTGTGCCAACAGTTTGCATTAGCGTATTTCGCTTAAAAACTGACTAATTTGTAAATCAGTTCTTTAAAAATATAATTTACAACAGTGAATCACGGCATACGAGCAACCGAAAGGCGAGCAATGCTTTATATTATTCTACCCACCCCCACAGGAGATGCATTTTTTTAAAAACAATCATTTAGATGTTCTGCAAACGCCCCCTCTATTTCCTCCAGTGAAATTTGTACTACTGTTATACATTTCTAGCTTTTTCTATCTCGTCATTGCTTAGGCATGGTAGAAGTTTTAAAAGCTCCTGTACCCCTTTCTCTACTGAGATGGTAGCATGGAAGCCCAGAGCTTGGATCTTCTTGTATGATACTTCATAATCTCTCTTGTCTTTATCCTCCCCCGTAGTGTTTTCTGTGATAACACAACCCGGCACGCATCGTTGGATGATACGAGCCACATCAGACTTGGATAAATTCATGTTTTCGTCCCCAACGTTAAATGCCTGCCCTGCCATTCGCTTGTAATTTTCCATTGCAAACACGAACGCATTGGCAGCGTCTTTGACGTGGAGAAAAGTACGTCGGAACTCCCCCTGATAAAGATCAAAATGTCCCAGCCTCACAGCCTTTTCAGTGAGATCATTCACCAATAAATCAAGCCTAAGCCGGGGGGACACCCCAAACACTGTTGCCAAACGAAGTGCCACTCCTCCAACCTGTATGACCATCCTTTCTCCGGCGGCTTTTGTGCTTCCATAGAGCGTCAAAGGTGAGATGGGTGTGTCTTCCGCGCACAGACCATTGAGCACAGCTCCGTAACATGAGCCGGTGGATGCGTAAACTAGCTGCTGATTTGGTGCTAAGCTGTCTACAACGTTCTTGGTGCCTTGTTGGTTTGTCTACAGAAACAACAAAATGAGAAAGTAAACAACTGAAAACAGAAGGAAGAGAAAACACGATGAAACTGAAGTTTCTTTACGTGTAAAAGCTCTGCGGTCCAAACAAATTGCTTTTGCACAAGCAGAAAACATATTTCAATTTTTAAACACTTAGAACGTGCAAGTTAAGTTTTAAGTTAACTCCCTCAAAATCAGTCAATCAACAGGCCTAACGAAGCTGAAATGGTTCTTGAACATTTTCCCCTTTATATGAGTTGTTGTTATCTATTCTTCTGCATTTTTTTTTTCTTTGAGCCGTTATCATGAAAAACCCTGCGCACAATTCTTTAGCTGGGTTTCAACGAGTAGGTAACTGACCATTAAACATCATCCTTGGGGCTAGTTGAACACAAATTAAATTTCGGCGCTGTTTCGCAGAAAAAAAAAAATCGGGAAACCAGAGTTTTATTTTCGTCTACAAATTCGCCGTCCTACTATTTCTTAAGGGGATGTTAACAATTTGATTGCAACGACGATTTTTAGCACAACGCAGCATTCAATTAATGGGGACATTGGGCATTTTATTTGCAACATAGGGTCCAAACTGGAATGGAATGGGCTAAAAACCGTCATTATTAGGAATTGTCTAAAGATATTGATAGTGAAAAATAGCGGTCGACAACGGATATTTATACAGAAATAACGTTTTGAATATATTTTGAATACGTATTTTGAATGTATTTTGAATTTTAACGAGTTGAACTACTGTAAATAAATTTTTTTCATTCTAATTCTTTTCGATAATGGCTTTTTTAATTACCAGTATTATGTAATAATTAACATTGTCAAACTGGAAAACAGCTGGGGCCCTGTTGAAATTCGGGCTGTTTCTCAATAAAGGGTTTTGTTTGTCTGATGCATGTATTTAAAGGTCTTTAATTCAATCCAACACAGCAGTGACCTAATCTTCTTCAAAGCCGTTCTTTGTGAAGGAGCATTGCGTGACGACACAAAGAACGGCTGCGGAGCATACTAACACTGATTAGGAGCCCATGACCTGGACCGAGCAACTCCCATACTAGGCCTATGCCACGGCGTTTTTACGGACCGGTTTATTTTTAGACACATTTTAGGGCACTTTTTCCCGCGCAAATGGAATCTCCGCCACGTCTATGAGCGCATTCGAAATATAAGATATCAAAAAGGAAAACATAACGTCATTAAAACGAAAAAAATATCATTTCTAGGTCTGTAGGTTTTGCTGACTGCTTTGTGGGACTTAAAAGATGTTCTCAATTCGCGCCAAAACCGTTCTAAAAGTAAACTGGTCCGTGAAAACGCCGTGTCATGAGTACATAGAAGTTGCTCGCTCCAGTTTATGGGTTCTTGCACTGACACAGCCCAACACAAAACCTCAAATAGCCTGCAATACAAACCTGAATAGCTTCAGCCTTATTTTTCTCACAGGCAGGATAACCCACAATGGCAGCGAGATGAATAACAGCGTCACATGTGGACATGTGCTCAGCCAAGAGTCCTTTGTCCAAAATATCTCCCGGGACGATCTCAAGATGAGGATTACCTACATGCGCCAAGAGTGGTCCCGCACCCCACATAAATTTATCGTAGACTACTACTTGGTAACCACGTTGGAGCAATATTGGTACCAGTGTTGACCCAAGGTAACCTGCACCGCCTGTAACCAACACGCGCTTGGTTGATTCAACAGAATTCCCATTGCAGTTCATTTTGATTTTTATCTGTCGTGTCCCGGTTATCTGCAAAAAGGAGCCGTGAGTATTCAGAGAAATGTTTAGGAAAATCAAACAAAACGACAAGAACTACCAAGAGCCATAATGGGACCAATGGCTCATAACAAGATTTAGTAGTTGTATGGGGCTACTCGATTGTTCCCTTGACAAACGACAAGTAATCGTAACTTCCTTTTATCAACTGAGCTGTTGAGGCTAATTTACGTTTCGAGCCGCTAACGAATTTGACGAGGGGCTAGCTGTTACGAGGATGCCTATATACCGAGCCAGGACTTTAGCCAAGACTCGAGCCAGGACTCGAGAGAGGACTTCGAGCCAGGAATCGAGCCAGGACTGAACAATTTTTCGCTTTCCGCCATTTTCACCTCCAGCAAGTCACATGACCATTAAGAAAGAATGTCACTAAAGATTTAGCAAAATTGGAAATGGTCAAACAAAACCATCCTTCATACTTTGTGTGTAGTTAGTATACAGATGAAACTACTCACTGTGGCATTTGTTTGACTTCTAACAAAAACCTGCACTGGGCATCAGGGGTGGGAAGTTTGGGCCAAACATTGTATTTTTTGAGACAATTTTCTCCTTGAAAATTGGAAAATTGTTACGTAAATACAGTATTTCAGAAAGCAGACTAACAGTTTAAAATCTGTTTACATGATAGCAAATTATCATCCTTCCTCTCAATAAAAATGTTATGAATTTTTTCTAGGCCCCCCTGACGGCCCCTGTTCATTGTCATTTACAAGGGGGGGAAACGTTTTTTGACAAGGCTAAAAAATAGACATTTTGGACACATTTTCTTCTTACTAGCACTACGATTTAGATCAAAATTGAAACAGGATGTAAATATTTCACCCTTTCTTGTGAACCATTTACATGCTTAAAAATCCGCGAGCACTCGATACATTTTTTAATGCCAATCAAATGAAATTGTATGCCTGAGACAAAGTAGTAAATTTTCGCAACTTTGTTCACCGCTATCTTTCTCTTAAATAATGCCATTGGGGCGATGTTAAGCAAAAACGTTGGATGGTTCCTATAGATTGCATTCCTTACGTTTTACTGTCAGTTATCGAGCAGATTAATGATTTTTGGTTTACAAAAACAGGCATCGTGTGGTTGGCGGTTGATTTATGCAAATTAGTACCCGCGATATAACCTGGCAGGAAAATCTAATTCGACGTTTTCCAGCAAAATAAATCGTTTCGACGGGATTATTAATAGATAACTGACACACAACATACCATTAACAAAGCAATCAATGCGACAAACATTTCAGAGCCAAGTCAAATCACACACAAGTCACGGTTCGTTTATGCATCGGTCAATTCCAGCTGCGCCGAGCCCCTCCCCCCCGGGCTACTGCGGGGCATTTGCCCGCCTTGTCAGTCCCGGGGGTGGGGCATTTGCAAATTTTGCGCTGCCCGGGGACCGGGCATTTGCCAACCCCGGGGCCATTCCCGAGGTTTTGACACGCACGCGGTTTCGTATCAGAATATAGCTACACAGAAGGTTTCAATGGAAAAAAAGCAGATTGGCTCATCTGTTAAGGACAGGAATAAATCGAAGAGGGTTGTAAAGGCATGTTCTCGATTTTATGCATGCATTTCTTCATTGCTTATCAAGCAAGAATTTATACATAGCGAAAATCGGAGCTATCGAAGGGAATCAACGTTTTTTGGTTACTGAATCAAAAATTTCTGTTGATATTATTTGAAGAACATCCTTTCATATTTATAATAGTATTTGTAACATATAACGTTACAGCGCTCTATTAATTTCAATGTCAATAATTTATATCAATACTAAAACCATAAACTGGTGCATGTCGTCGCGGCGTGAAGTCTTCATTAGAATCCTAGCGTTATTACAAAGGAAGCCGTTAACTGAAACAGAAAAATCGCACATTAAAATGCTTAAAAGGCATTATTCGACGGTGCGATCAATGAAAAATGCTGCAGTGTTGACGAAGGACGGGGCATTTGCCCTCTTTTTTCGTCCCCACCCCGGGGGATTTGACAGCTCAAGAGCCCCCACCCCCGGGAATTTGCCATCCAAGGCAAAAAAAATGCTAATGCCCGGGGGTCAGTCCGGGGGGGGGGGAGGGCAGGGCGCAGCTGGAATTGACTGATGCATTCACAGGGGCCCCACACAGTCTGTTTGTGTAGCCGATTGTTATTTTATAGTAAATGTACTGGATTTACCGTTTGCTTCACCTATAGCGATATATCGCTAACTATGTATATAAATCAATGATAAATAAACGTTAAATTACCTTACCTGTGGTGTATGGTCGTCCTTTTGCCTCAAAAGCGGTTTTTTGAGCGATTTTGAATGAATTTGAGTTCGCCGTTGACTGTTCTATTAACGGTCAGTATAAAACACGGACTGCGGACTGCGGACTACGGACTGCGGACTGGGTATAAAATACGGACTAGGTATAAAACGCGGACTAGAAAATACGGACTGGGTATAAAACACGGACAAGGTATAAAACGCGGACTGCGGACTGCGGACTGGGTATAAAATACGGACTACGGACTACTTTGGTAAAAACCGTGCAAATTGGTTCTAGGTAAGGAAAAATAAGATCAAAAGATCGCTAAATAGCAAGACACGTGAGTTAAAGTTGTAAATACTCTTATAGATTCTTGGTGGAGGTGTCCCGCCCGGTTCTCTGAATCATGAGCCGGATCAAAATGCTATTTTCTTCACCCATTTTTAGACCTTGTCTTGGTCTCTAACAATCATGAAAGGGGTCAGGATCAGGGGGGTACTCCCTTATATAAGGGAAGGGTAGGAGTTTTGGGCCTTTTTGGTCTGAAAACACTTTGCCCATTTTGGTGTGGAATCGGGTATGGTTTTCGAGGGAACAACGGGAGCGTACATGAATGGACGTATTTATCGTTTCAATTCCAAGTGAATAAGAACGAAATAGAAATGTGCGAATTCGAAATGCATTTGGAGAATTTTTTTTGTTTCCGCTCTAACTTGGTAATGATGACAAAATTTCTGCCTAATCATACCTAACCTGTTCAAGGATCTAAGATAGTTGGGTCCGATGAATTGAGAAAGCGAAAACACGAAAATAAAACGGGAGAAAACTGGGGAATCTCCCCAACTATCTGAGAACCTGGAACAGGCTAAATTAGGCCAGGTCCGAAAATGGGTATGGATTTTAGAGATCTAGTCTGAAAACGGGTGTGGAAAATGACAATTTTTTGGTCTGCAATAAGGTCAGGATTCGGGGAACCGGGCACTACACCCCAACGAAGAATTCCCAGTAGTACCCCTTCCGGGGATCAGGAGCAGGGTGTAAATCATATCATCATAATCATCACTTAAAATATAACGTTGAATGACGCATTTCGGTTATTATTCACGTATGTGAGTAATCCCTCGCACCTAAATACTGCTTTGTGCATCGCATTGACCTTCTCGTCTGAGTTCTTCATTCAGTCCTCATATTCCCAAAGCTTTATTTGAAACGGAATTGTGGCGTCCGATAAGAATTTTACTGATCTGACTAATACCAATACTATTTTTTTTTTTTAATTCGGTGCTTCTTATTGGTGTAAAACTGCAAATTGAAATCTCTTCAAACTCCTTCTTTTCATAAAATTCAGAGTTTAATTTCAGTTGCCTTGAGTACCGGCATAACCTTCCTTCTCCATGGGAAGAATAGACTACGTGAACAGCGTTAAAGCTGGGACTACTGTTTTTGCTAGTCCGCTTTCTATTTCTCTCAGTTTTACCTTCTAAAGCTGTTTTTATATACATAGTCCGTAGTCCGCGTTTTATACCTAGTCCGTGTTTTATACTCAGTCCGGAGTCCGCGTTTTATACCTAGTCCGTATTTTATACCCAGTCCGCAGTCCGTGGTCCGCAGTCCGCAGCCCGTGTTTTATACTGACCGGTTCTATTAACAGTCAACGGCGAACTCAAATTCATTCAAAATCGCTCGAAGAACCGCTTTTGAGGCAAAAGGACGACCATACACCACAGGTAAGGTAATTCAACGTTTATTTATCATTGATTTATATACATAGTTAGCGATATATCGCTATAGGTGAAGCAAACGGTAAATCCAGTACATTTACTATAAAATAACAATCGGCTACACAAACAGATTGTGTGGGCGCCCTGTGATGCATTAGGTCTCATCCACCATGTAGTAATGCATGTCGTCGCATTCAAATCCCTTCCCTCATCTTCACTGCATATCTACAAAGTTTTCTTTCACACTGACACCGTGCCAAATTACTGCAGCTGCTTATGATGGGCAGAAACATACTTTTCCTTACCGTGCATGAACATGGTACTCTGTTGGATTCTTTTACATGTCCAACACACTGTCTGTAAGGTAATGTATCTTAGTCACGCAGTGTGTCATGTCACAAGCGCTGTACTGATCTTATAATTCTTCTTTCCTTTTTATAAATATTAGAATCTTCATGAATTCGTGTAAGTGTTATTACGTATAAAATGGTGTAGTGGTCATAAGTATCTGCTTTGCAAGCGAAGCATAATAGCGCCCAGTCTCCTTTTGCGCAAATTGTTTATGCATCAGTCAATTTCAGCTGCGCCCAGCCCCCTCCCCGGGCTGACCCCCGGGCATTGGCATTTTTTTTGCCTTTGATGGCAAATTCCAGGGGGTGGGGTCTCTTGAGCTGTCAAATCCCCGGGGTGGGGACGAGACAAGAGGGCAAATGCCCCGTCCTCCGTCAACACTGCAACAAATTTCATTGATCGCACAGTCGAATAGTGCCATTTTAAGCATTTTAATGTGCGATTTTTTGTTTCAATTAACGTCTTCCTTTGAAATAGCGCTAGGATTCTAACGACGCGCTAGGATTCTAATGATTTTAACGACGACATGCACCAGCTTATGGTTTTAGTATCGATATAAAATTATTGACATTAAATTAATAGACCGCTGTATATAGCTGTAAAGTTATATGTTATGAATAGTTTTA